TTGGGACCGGGGAACCTCGCCCAGGAGCGGAACCCCAGTAAAAGCCTGTGAATTAATCAATTCATCTGCCTGGGAAGATTTGTTACACGCCGGACACCTTACAACATTATTTTGACATAACCAATTAAAGTAATTGACCTAAAATGATAATCTTAAAATGGGTGACTGTACAGTTTTGGAAACTCCTGAATTTTAGTCATGGAATTTAATTGTATCCATTCACAAGAAAGAATATATTAAGTCATTAAGGCAGAGGCTCCTCTATATCCACTCAGCTCAGCTCCCTCCTGGCAGCAGAAGCCCTGTGAACACTCATAGGTAGCTACAGAAAAAACACTAGCAACTCACGAGCTATCCTGTAGGGAGCTGGAGGTGGGAGGGGGGTCCGTGTTAGACTCCGTTCTTCCCCTATGTCAGTGTCTATGTCAGTTAGACTCCGTTCTTCCCCTATGCTCAGTGGCACCAAGAACTTGCCTGAATTATTACCTTAGCGTCCGTGGGTTCAGTGTCCAAACTCACATTCTGGAACTTTCAGTAATGGCGGCTCCCATACAGTTTCAGGGGAACATTTGTGGGAGTGCCCACCCAGGTTGCTAAATCAGGCTGCGGAAGCAATATCCAGGCAGGAATGGGTCTATGAAATAGGCTGAAACCCCACTGTTTCTTGATGGAAGAAACAGTTTGTATGTTGCACCCCAAAGAAAGAGTTTTAAACCTTTGTATTCAGCAAAAACTGAGACAGGAATCCTTTGGTAACATACGTATAATCACCATTTGTTTTGCTAGGTTTAGATTTTTTCTTTTCTTTTTTTTTTTTTAAGATTTATTTTATTTCAAAGAGTTACACAGAGAGGAGAGGCAGAGAGTGAAGTTTTCCATCCCATGGTTCACTCTCCAGATGGCTCCAATGGCCAGAGCTGCGCCAATCCGACTAGGTTTAGATTTTCATACCATAGGTTGCTTTGAGGCAAATTAACATTTGGCCTGGACTTTGTATACGTATCTTAGGTTTCCAACTTTTAAGTTGTTTTTGTTTTTTTTTTGTGTTGTCTTTCTGGCGACAAGATCATAAACCTTTCTCCTCCAGCCTACTGCTTTGCAGCCACGACTCGATATATAATGACTGGCAGCAAAAAGTAATAAAACACAAAACACTAAAACCAACAGCAAATTAGAACATATTCACAAACAAGGTAGGCAAACTAGGAATGATCTTTTACAAACTCGATTTCCCTAATAAAAAAAATAGTACCAGTAGGTATTGTTGTAATATAGAAAAGAAAAAAAAACGTCTTCGGTAACTGACTTTTCTCTGTAGACGCCAATTCCTGAACCCTTACTCTACACTTGTTAGTCCAGCTTCTTAATCGCAGAAATACGTGAGAGAATAGACTACCTAAACACTGCACTAAGGAATGGGAGACCCTTTTTTTTGAAGACTTCACGCTCGTTTGTATCCGCCAATAATTGGTCGGTTTAGTATTTGCATAGTCAAACAGCCCTCAGGTACACACGAGCCTTAAAAGCAAAATCACTAAGGCCTCCCAGCGGAAGTTTACCGCGTGGGCGCCGCCGCACACGTAGCAGAGACACGCACTCCTCCCCTGGTTCTCGCGCCGCACCCTCGCGGGGCGGGAACATAGACCGGAAGGGGCGGGGCCGGGCCCGGGAGCCAAAAGGCGTTCGGGGCAGCTCTTCTTCCTTTTCTGCCCTGACGCTGAGGGTGACGGAAGTTGTCAGCCATGCTGGCGTGGCGGCGGCAGAGTTTGGGGGCCCATCGCGGATCTGTTCGAGGTGAGAGCCCTGGCAGTGTTAGTTCCTGCCCTTCTTTGTGTTGGGTTTTGCTGCCCTATGGGTGCTAGCGCGGCGCTTTCCTTCCGGCGGGCCGGTCCCGGGAGGGGGCTCTTCCCCGCGCCGCGCCCGCGAGCTTTCCCTCCGCGCCATCTGCGCCCTCCAGGGTTGTTAGTAATTGCTTTCGAGTCTTAACTGACTGTTGTGTAGCAGACGCCAGTTCTGACTGCCTTCACCCCAGGAAATGAGTAAAGAGCCTAGTATGACTCAAGGGAGCCCGAGGCGCCTGGAAGGAAGGGCGGGTGGCTTCGTGCTCCGCCCGCGTCCTCGCCGGATGCCTTTTGTGTGCCCCGCGGAGTTGTGTGTGCAGCTTTGGCGGTTTCGCGTTCCTGAATAGGCCACTTAATTTTCTTTAACAAGGAAGCATGCTTTTTTTAAGGGTTAGTGATAAACTTTTCGCTGTTAAGACGACTCTTAACTAAGCGCGCTTTGGGAGTGGTTTTGAAGTTAAGCAGCGCTGCTGTCGTTGCGTCGGAACTGGCTGGCATTTGTGCTGAGCTCCTGCGTTGTAAGTAGGCTTTAAGGAGGAGGTATGGATTGATGTGGGAGAACAAATTGTCGAGCGTAGAAGACCCTCGGGCTGTAAATACCTGCCTGCGTACGTGTAGAAGCTTGCATTTATTAGATGTCTGTCTGAACATAACCAAAAAACTGGGGCACAGAAAAGAGGCCGTTATTAAGAAATGAATAGCTCGTCAGTGAAAGTTGGTATACTCATGGTTTTTTTTTCCCCAAATTTAAAATATATTGCTTCATCTGGAACAATTTAAACTAAACAGGATAAATGGGATAGCTTAAGATAGGTTATTTGATACCATCAGTTCTTATTTTTGAGGTGTTGAATCCTTTCATTGCTAAGTGTTGGGATTTTTGAATTTTAAAAAAGTTAACAATTTCAAAAGCTGAGAGGCAGAAATATGCTGTCCACTGGTTTTGTCCACAAATGACTAACAGCCTGGCTGCAGCCAGGAATTCTAGGAGGCCTCACATGTGGGACGCACATACTTGAGCCATCCGCTGCCTACTTGGGTGGTTGTCCATTAAGAGCTGAAATGCAAAACATAACGTGGACTTGAACCCAGTCACTCCAATATGGGATGCAGGTGTCCCAAGCTACGTGTCAACTGCTGTGCCAAACATCTGCCCCATTAATTTCCACACTAAGCCTAATAAGTACTAACACTTCAGTGAAACATGAAAGCAAAATGATAAATTGTTTTGCAAGGTGCAGTATAGTAGATCTTAATAAATCATTTCTGTTAGCTGTCATGTTCCAAGATTTATCCCTTGAGGTTCTAGAAGACAATGGCCATGTCATTTGCATGAGTTAATGCTACAGGACTGTGCAGACATTCTAGATTTCTCATTGTGATGTTTTAGTTGTATGTTTATGTACTTGTCTGTATACCTAACCTTTAACCAATCTAATAGCTCATCTTTGTCAAGCTCTGAGATGGAAGAACAGTGGTGTTTACTCATAAGGACCATTGTGATTTTAAATCAATGCTGCCACACAACAGAGATGTGATAAAATATTATTCCTCCAGCTTGGAAAGAAGCTCAGTTTATGAAATTAGTGTCTAATCAAAGGGACCAACACATAATCAAATCATTACAGATATTTAGTGTTTGGCTTTGTGCATTTTGACTCACAAAAAGAATTGTTAGAATCGTGTAATACATTTGTTTTCACAGACGATATATTAAAAAGTGGATTGGGAGTTAGGTTGCAGGTGTGGTTGTGTTTGTGGCTTCCTACTGGACCATTGCTACATATAAGATGCCAAACAAATGGCAGTGAAATGAGAATTTACCGTGAAATATTTAATTTCTAGGTGCTGCAAAGCCTGTGTGTTTTGAAGATGTATGAAGGATGTAACAGGCATTTCCCACACCCATCATAGAAGATGGCTGCAAATAAACTAGTAGGACGAACCTGAATGTGCTGAAGTACTAAGAGTTCATGTCAAGGTATGTGACTTTCTCTCTGGTATTGCTACTGAAGGTCAGTACCCAAATTGCTCAATAAAATCTTGACTTAGGTCAGTGTATTTGCTGGCACAATGATGACTTAAATTACTTTTTGCCGTTTACCCAGCTGAGGGTTTCTTTGAAGAAATTTCTTCAAGACTGAGATGCCAGTTATCTATATTTTGTCAGTTACTGAAATGTAATGAAAGTTGTTTTTAATGGGTGAAATATTTCTTTTCAGCATATCGAGAGCTGCAGGCGAACATTCGGCTCCTTAGGCTGTGGTGTTTAAAAATATTTCATTGCCTCAAGTAAGTAATTATGACTTGATAAGCAACCACTTGCTATTGATAGTCCATACGTTTCTACTAAACTATTGAAGGATAGGGCCAAAGATTTTATTTATTTTGAAAGACAGAATTACAGAGAAATAGACACAGATATTCCATTCCCTGGTTCACTCCCCAAGTAGCTAAAACTGTTTGCCCAGGTGCATTAACAGGAAGCTAATTTGGAAGTGGCGTGGCCAGGACTTAAACCAGGGCTCATACTAGGATGCTGGTATCACAAATAGTGGTTTAACCTGCTGCGCCACAACCCCATTTCTGGCCAGTTCTTTTTGCAGTTGCCTTTGAGTGTTGAGTTCCATTGCCTTTGTGCAACATTTTTTGAGGGGCACTTAGGGATATTGAAGTTTCCCCCTCAGAGCTCCCATCTGCTGGTTCACTTCCTAAATGATTAAATTGTCTGGGTTGGGTAAGCACTTGAGAGTCTGGAACTCAGTGCAAGGTTCCCAGGTTAGTGGGTGGGACCCAAGATTTTGAGTTTGAGTATGAGATGATTTTCACTGCTTGTTTCTGATTGGGTTTTTTGTTTCCTTTTTGGAGGTGTGGCATGCAACAGTTCTGAAGGAAAAGTGAAGAACTGATCAAGAAAACATGAACAGAAATGAATGATGAAAATTCACACTATATTAAATGATGTAGACAAACACATATTTCTAATTGCTGAGCAATAAAGTGCTTGAATGATGCATTTTGATAGTCACCAAGGAGACTTTTTTTACATTAAGGATATAATGCTGTTGGCAGCTGTGAGTTCACTTGTGGGTGCTGAGTCTCACTGAGTTAGGCAGCTGGGGAGACAAATGACTGCACTGTATTGCCATTCATGAAAAACAGGTGATTGGAATCTCTTCCTTACATTGGAGCTCCTTCTGTGCTTAGTAATCAAATTCCCCATTACAGTAACAGTCCACCTTTTTGTGACTTACTGATTTTATTTTCAATTTAATTCTTCATTTGACATATCTTTGTGAACAAAATAATATGCCACATTACAGAAAGTGGGGATTAGGCAGACTGGTCTTTCCAGGACTAAAGCTTAGACAGTAGAGTTCTAAAACAACTGAATTCCTGCAGGAGTTACAACTTAAGTTTAGCTAAATCTGTATGGAGTCCTAAGTTGAAAAGTTCTTGTGCCCTCCCTATAAAGCCAGAAATGTTTTGAGATATAATATATCCAAAAGCACAGAATAAAGGTCTTAACAATACAGGATTATAATATATAAAAATATATTTGGTGAATACTGCCTTTTAATAATAGTGAATGACTTCTCAAGATCCTGTGGAGAGAGCTGTCTGGGTAAGAAAGCTATTCTGAAATAAAAAGCTAAAAATAAGGAAGCTCTGTGAATACCAATGTTAAAAGAAACAATACATGGTACTACCCCAGCTAATAAGCTAGCAGATTTTGTATTGTCTTGCTTTTCTGTAAATATTAAGTTTTGAAAAATGAGAACTGAGGTAGATATGTTTTGATGGTATGGGCTTGGAAGTTTTTCCTTTCCCTTTGGAACCTTGTAACCTAACAATTACCGTTGAAGAGCCAATTTACAAATTTACTTACACAGAATATATAGATAATTGATGGGCTCCTTGATTCCATCTAAATTTTTAAACGTAACTTGGTTGTTAAATAAGAGATTTCCAAAGATTTTTTTGACTCCATATTTATGGCTTCTAAAACTACATACGTACCAGTAGTAATAAAGGCTTTAAATTTGAAGCTTCAGGTTATAAATTACTTAAAAGGAGGCATTGTGGCATTTAAGTTGCCCTTAGGACACATCCCATATCAGTGCTGGTTGAAGACCTGGGTAGTTTGGGATCTAGCTCCCTGCTAATGTGCCTTGGAAGGCAGCAGGTGATGATGGTCTGAGTACGTGGGTCCCTGCCACCCACATGGGAGTTGTGGGCTCCTGGTTGTGGCCTGGCTATTATGGCCCTGTGGGGAGTGAACCAGCAGATAGAAGATGTTTGTCTCCTTTTCTGTCATTGCCTATAAATAAATCTTAAAACATTACTTTTCAGTTTGGCAAGTTCACCAGTATAAGAAAAAATGGTTTAAATTAAGTTTGTAGAAAATGTTATTGCCATCTTGTGACAAATAGAGTGAACTACCTAAGTTATTTTTTATGTTGCAACATTATTTTTTGTCTTAATCACCAGTGTATTGATCTTACCAAAAGCGGTTTTTAAATTTTTGTTTTTTACTGGAGCTAGATAAAGCTTCCACCTGCTGGAATTATGCCCACAATGGAGAGGAGTGGGAACTCAGTCCAGGTCACCTATGTAGGTAGCAGACATCCAACCACTTGAACCATCACCTGATGGCCACTGCCAGGGTGTATCCTCATGGGCCAAAGCTGAATATCAAACCCAGGTACTCTGGGATGCCCGTAGCAACTTTGTCACTGAATTGTCCCTCTATTTTAAAATTTGATGGGTTTTAGAGATTAGAAATAGCATCTCATTAGCAATTAGTCTTGAGGGAACTATATTTTACTTTTTTTTTTTTTTTTTTGAAAGGCAGGGTGGACAATGAGCGAGAGAGACAGAGAGAAAGGTCTTCCTTCCATTGGTTCACCCTCCAATGGCCGCTGCTGCCAGCGCATCGCGCTGATCCAAAGCCAGGAGCCAGGTGCTTTCTCCTGGTCTCCCATGCGGGTGCAGGGCCCAAGGACCTGGGCCATCCTCCACTGCACTCCCGGGCCACAGCAGAGAGCTGGACTGGAAGAGGGGCAACCAGGACTAGAACCCCGTGTGCCGGCGCCCCAGGTGGAGGATTCGCCTATTGAGCCACGGCGCCAGCCTATTTTACATTTTTGGATATGGAATTCTAATACTATCCTGTAATAACTGAAGCATTATTTTAAAAACTGCTTAAATAGGAGTGAAGAAAAAAATATGTCCTCGAATTCCTTATTCATCACTAGAGAAAACAGCTGTCCCAGGTCCGTATGTGGCAATAAACTGTTGGAGCTGCTGTTGGCACTGGGTCAGGTAGCGATCCCTTTGCTCTAAATATTCTTCGTTAAACAGATCAAATGGAAATAGTGCATTTGGAGCAACACAAAATATGGAGGTCCCTAAATGAAGCAGAAAATTAGTGTAACTAAATACTTCTAAGTACGAAATCACATTTTCAACCAAAATGCTTGAGTAAATTGAGTAAAAAGTTTAAAAATCAAGTTCTGACCTAATAGAGTATCTCAGTAATCATTTATTTAAATCTGACTTGTTTTTTTGGAACTCAAGATGATGACCTTGAATAACCCTTCTGTCAAAGGACAATCAATGCCTTCTCACATGCTCTGGATCCTAGCCCTTCTCACCTTTTTCTAGGACTTCACTCCTTTGAACTTCTCTTGATAGTATCATTAGTCTACTCACAACTTAGTAAAATTAAATCTCTTCCCACCATACATTCTTAAGCTAATATCCATATTTTGCCTCATTTCATAGTCCAACATCTCAAAACTTGTTTCTGCTGTCTCCATCTCCTCATCTACGCTACCCCTATTCCCAGTCCACTGAAATAGCTCTGATCATGGCCACCTACAACCTCTGGATTCCCAAATCATTTTATAGAGACTGAGTAGGATATGACCACTCTGTTACCTTGGAACCACTCCTTTCTTGGCTTCTATTAATAACACCTTTGATGTTCCAGTTACTGCTGCTTCTCTGTTAGTTCCTTCTGCTTAACCTATCCCATTTCTAAATATTGGAGTAATTTTTATTTTCAATTTATTTGAAAGGCAAAGAGATCTTACATCCACTGGTTCACTCTACAAATACCCACAACAGCCAGGGCTGTGTCAGGCTTTAATCCAGGAGTAGGGAGCTCCATCTGGGTCTCCTATATGGGTGGTGGAGACACAAGTATTTGAGCCATCACTTGCTGCCTTCCTGCATTAACAAGAAGCTGAATCAGGCACTCTGCTATGGGATGCAGGTGTCTAGCTGTGCAAAGGCCTGCCCCTAAATATTGAAGTTCTTTGACAGTCTTAGAGCTCTTTCTAATCTCACAGTGATTTCATCCACTGCTTTGCCTTGCATGTTGTCTATGCTGTTGATTCCTAAATTAGATTTTAGGTTAGTACTCTAAGCTCTATAGTTTCTTTTACTTATTGATATGTCTCTAAGATTTCTCAATATTTCTGTAATTTGATTTTTCTCCCAAGCCTTTTCACTCTTCTTGATCTTAGTAAATGGCATCATCACTCACTCAAGGCAGAAAGCTAGGAGATTCCCTCAGTTCCTGCTCTTCCTCCGAATCCCTGCCAACAACTCTTAAATGTAATTCATGACCCCAGTCTATTGGGTTTTTGCGTCCAAAGTTCTAGTCAAAGTTCCCATTAACTTCCTGTACTATAATGAAAATTTTCTAACTGATCTCTCTTTCCATTCTTAAACCCTCCAATCCATTCTCCATACGAACTCCAGAGATATTTCAAAAATACAATTGATCACATCACTGCTGTGCTTAAAACTTAATGCAATCCCAATTTTCAGCTGTGTTCTGTGAGGCCCTGCAGGATCTTGCCCTACTTTCCAGCCTAACTAGTACCAGTGTCTTTGTTTTTTAAAGGCTTTATTTATTTGAGAGGTAGAATTATAGACAGAGAGAGGGAGGAACACAGAAAAAGGTCTAACATCTGCTGGTTCTCTCCTTAAATGGCTGCAACAGCTAGAGTTGAGCTGATCCGGAGCCAGGAGCTTCTTCCAGGTCTTCCACATGGGTTCAGGGTCCCAAGCACTTGGGCCATCTTCCACTGCTTTCCCAGGCCATAAGCAGAGCTGGATAGGAATAGGAGCAGCCAGGACACAAACCGGGGCCCATAGAGGATGCCAGCGCTGCAGGCAGAGGCTTAGCCCACTATGATACAGTGCCAGCCCCTCTTTCCATTTCTTATAAGCACTTGTATAGGTGGTTTCCTTCTACCTAGACTCCCCTTGGTGGGATAATTTTCTTGCTTTGTTTAATAGTTAAGGAACTCCTAATATTGTTTTGCATAAGACATAAAAACTAACATACCTAACAAATTCATTATGAAAACAAAAGTGGGGCCGGCGCCGCGGCTCACTAGTGTCGCTCCCCCTCTTCGTGGAGGAGCAACACAGGACCCTGCGCTGTTCTTTCGTCTACTCGGCCCTCCCCGGGTTTGCTGCTGGTTCTTCCCGGGTTGGCTACTATCCCTTCCACCTCCGTGGAAGGGCAGTTCCCCCTGGCCGCATTCCCCACTTCCGCAGGGGAGCGGCACACCGCCAGCCGGCTTTCTCGGGGGCTGCACGGGTGTTCCTTCAGCTAGATGTTCCCCATAGATGTTCCTGGTGCATGCCGTCTCTCTCCTCCTTTATAGTCCTTCTCCGCCAATCCCAACTCGGCTGCCCACACGCCGAGTACGCTGCTCTCCTCCAATCAGGAGCAAGTCCTACAGTTTATCAGTTGAACTGGAGGCAGCTGTGCGGAAGCTGTTTACTTCTCTCCCAACGCCACATTGTGGGAGAGCAGATGCATAGAATAAGTCTTAATTCGAGTAACTTAGTCTAGTCCGGATTGCTCCCCACACACTAGGCTAATCCTCCGCCTTGCGGCGGCACACCCAGGTTCTAGTCCTGGTCGGGGCGCCGGATTCTGTCCCGGTTGCCCCTCTTCCAGGCCAGCTCTCTGCTGTGGCCAAGGAGTGCAGTGGAGGATGGCCCAAGTCCTTGGGCCCTGCACCCCATGGGAGACCAGGAGAAGCACCTGGCTCCTGCCATCGGATCAGCGCGGTGCTCCGGCCACAGCGTGCCAGCAGTGGCGGCCATTGGAGGGTGAACCAACGGCAAAGGAAGACCTTTCTCTCTCTCTCACTGTCCACTCTGCCTGTCAAAGAAAGAATAATCAATGCAAGTAAGGGGGAAAAAGTCTTCATTGTTTTATTTCCCTCAAATGCTTTCTTAGGTGCTTCAAGAAAGTCTTGAGAAAATAGGGACCAAGTGAAAAATACTCATATTCAACCATAGGAGTATTAGTATTATAATAACCATAGTTTTTCAATTCAAAGGCATTTTTGTCTTAATCCAGTTGTGTCTTAACAGTTGATAGCATGTCCTAATAAAGTTGGCAGCATTTTTCTTTTATGGTGTATAAAATAATGTTTCAGATTTGATAAAATATGGTCTTAGTTAAAGAGTAAGAGAAGAATGTAAAGATAATAAAAAATTATATATTCTGCCTAATTACTGTTTTGTATTGGTTGGGAACAAGTGTTTTTCTCTTCTGGTATACAAAACTAATTCAGGGTAATTAACCTTTTCAGTATATCATCAATCTCAAAGACATACTACATAAAACTTAAAATCCATCTCCCTGGGAAAAAGGTATAAGGCATACACATAAAAATTTGTAAACAATTTAGGGATTCACAAGCACCTAGGACTCCATGGATCCCAGGTTAAGAATGGTTGGTTTTATTTTTAAAAAATTGAGAGACAGAAAGAGACAGTACTTATCTGCTGGCTCACTCCCAAATACCTGCAAAAACCAGGGTTAGGCCTGGCCAAAGCTGGGAGCACGGCACTTAATCTGGGCCTCCCACATGAACGCTAGAGACTCAACTACTTAAGTCGTCACTGCATATTCTAGAAGGAAGAGAAAATCATTTCATATATTATATTAAATACTTTTCCCCCCAGAACTCTAAGCAATGCAAAAGTTCAAATATAAAAATAATAATACATAATAAGGAAATGTCAGATGATGACACTACCTAGAAACAATTAGTAAATATTCAACTTTAGATAGGCCTTATGAACAGGGATATTTTATTTAAAATAATATTTACAGGTTGGCATTTGGCCTGGTGATTAAAGATGCTGATTAAGATTCCTATATCGTGGGGCCGGCGCTGTGGTATAGTAGGTAAACGCCACTGCCTGCAGTGTCTGCATCCCATATGGGTGCCAGTTTGAGTCCTGGCTGCTCCACTTCCAATCTAGCTCTTTGCTATGGCCTGGGAAGCAGTAGAAGATGGCCCAAGTCCTTAGGCTCCTGACCCAGAGGAAGCTCCTGGCTCCTGGCTTCTGATCGGTGCAGCTCTGGCCGTTGCAGCCAATTGAGGAGTGAACCAGCAGATGGAAGACCTCTCACACACACTCTTTCTTTCTCCTTTCTCTGTTTAACTCTTTCAAATAAATAAATCTTTAAAAAAATTCCTCCATCCCATAATGAAGTGCCTGAGTTCAATGTTCAACTTCACTCCTGACTCCAATACTCAACTTCATTCCTGACTCCAGATTCCTAGTAATGCAGATCCTTGGAGGCAATAGTAATGGCTGAAGTGGTTGGGTTCCTTTCCCAAAATGGGGGACCTAGATTGAGTTCCTGGCTCATAGCTTTCCATTGGGTCACTGTGGACGCTTGGGGAATGAACCAGAGGATGGAGCTCTCTTGTTTCTCTGCATCTCAAAAAATTATTTAAATATATGTAATATTTTAATTTCATGGACTAAGAATATTTAAGTTTTGAGACCATTAATAATCGACTACATTACCGTATTTCAATGTGAGAGATGTTTCAAATAATAAGGCTGCAATTAGCACATCTTCTTTGAGCACTTTATTCCTTAAGTTCAGTCGAGCATGTGCTTCAGATAGGGAAACTCTAAAAAGGAAAATTGGTGCCAATCAAAATGTGTTATATTACAAAAATAATATGTATTTTGGCAGGAACAGTTAATACATATGTGAACCTTAGCCACAGCTTAAAGATTAGCATTTTCTTTTTAAAAAATGTTGGGTTTCAAAGTATTTTTTCCTGCCCACTTAAAACAGACTGTTAGAGAATAAGCAAGGTTCTTGACTTAGTATTAAACAGTTGGTTTCTATCCTGGCTTCTAGTAAACATTCCATACCCCATCCCAAGTTCTATTGAATTAAATAGACTGTTGGGAACCTATCTCTTATAGATACATCTTCAATATTTTTTGAAGTCTCCATAGAATCCTACAGTTTCCATGTCAGAAAGGATCTTAGAGTTTAAAAGTTTAAACTCCCATCAGATAACTGAATTTCCTTTAGAATACCCCATGTTATTCATTATCTAGTCTCTTCTGAACCTCTCCTGGTAGTGACTGCTTCATGAGGCATTCTGTTTCTATTTATTTTTAATTTTTTCATAATAATAATGTAGTAGAAACAATTTTACAAACACCATTTTTATGCATGAAAGAAAGTTTGTTTGTTTGTTTGTTTGTTTTAATTTGAGAGGCAGAGTTACAGAGAAAGAGAAAGACAGAGAAGAAGCTCCTGGCTCCTGGCTTCAGTCTTGCCCAGCCTTGGTCAATGTAGCCATTTGGAGAGTGGACCAGTGGATGGAAGATCTCTCTCTCTCTCTCCTTCTCTCCTCTGTAACTCTGCCTTTCAAATAAACAAATAAATCTTTAAAAAAGAGATAGAGAGATATTATCTCTGAGAGGTGGAATAGGTCAGAATGGCTGAGGTAAGAAGATACTTTACTCATCATTTTAGAGGTTTTATAATGTCCGTACTTTCTTTTATAATAAAAATGAATTATTTTTAAACTTTTTAAGGAGCAATAATAGATGGACGATTAAAATATTTTAAAGTACAAGAAACAATATACCTAAGAATTCTTGTTAGGTTCAACTACAAAATATCTAGAATATAAATCCTTTGTATTTGACATCGATGTACTTTTCTCAGACACAACTCATAATGAGATCTAATATAATTAATTCAGTGAAAAAAATGTGTAAGTTCAAAAGAAGTAACAATATAGCAATCAGAATTGTTAAACCACCTTAAATTCTTTTGGAACAGGGTAAAATTTTTTAAAATATTTATTTATTTATTCAAAAGGCAGAATTATAGAGAGGCAGAGGCAGAAAGAAAACCGCTCCATCCACTGGTTCACTTCTCAAATGACCTCAACACCCAGGGCTGGGCCAGACTGAAACCAGGAGCTTCTTCCAGGTCTCCCACTCAGAGGCAGGAGCCCAAGGACTTGGGCCATGTTCTACTGCTTTCCCAGGCCATAGCAGAGAGCTGGATCTGAAGTAGAGCAGTTGGGTCTCCAGCCAGCATCTATGTGGGATGCCAGCACTGCAGGCAGTGGCTTTACCTGCTGTGCCACAGTGCCGGCCCCAGAACTAGGTAAATTATAAACCAACCAACTAGCAATCTAACAAAAAAGCATGTAAAATCAGTAAGTTAATTAAACATATCACTTAAAAGTTAATACAAGCTTTAAAATCTTGAAATTTAATACCTACAAATATCTTAATGCAGATGCTGACAGTTTTGATCCATATACAGAATCTGTTCTGATTCTGCGACTTGCTAGGTAATAGCCATGAATCATTCTTTCTGCTTCCAAGCTGAATTCTACATTCAAATTCTTTGCAAAAGCCAGTAGCTAAATTAAAAGTGAGAAAAATTTAAGAGATTCAAGATGTTTTATAGTGTACATATAACAAAAATCCAATGTATATTGCAATTTTACTTTTTAAAGTTTGAGTATTTTATTTACATAAAAATTAAATTAATATCTAAGGCAACTGCCGGCGCCGTGGCTCAATAGGCTAATCCTCCACCTTGCGGCGCCGGCATACCGGGTTCTAGTCCCGGTTGGGGCGCCGGATTCTGTCCCGGTTGCCCCTCTTCCAGGCCAGCTCTCTGCTATGGCCAGGGAGTGCAGTGGAGGATGGCCCAGGTGCTTGGGCCCTGCACCCCATGGGAGACCAGGAAAAGCACCTGGCTCCTGGCTCCTGCCATCGGATCAGCGCGGTGCGCCGGCTGCAGCGGCGGCCATTGGAGGGTGAACCAACGGCAAAGGAAGACCTTTCTCTCTGTCTCTCTCTCTCACTGTCCACTCTGCCTGTCAAAAAAAAAAAAAAAAATTAATATCTAAGGCCATCCCCAAATCACTGAGCACTTTAAATCATGGTCTTATAATTGTAAAGAAAATTAAACTTTATCCAGAATAATCTCCCTCTCAGTGCACAAATGTTCTTGCAGGTTTACCTCCCCCAGAAGTTCATTTCCCTTTGAATGGCTTTAATTTTTTAAATTTCTTTATAACTTCCTTTCATTGCCCCATCCCCTTTTACTTCCCTTCCTTCCTTTTAAAGAACACTTATCATTTGTAATGAATGAGACACTGTAAGGGACCCCCTTCTAACATCTGTCAACATTACACTGGATCCCAGTCCCCACCTACGGAGTTGGGACTGTTCTACCCATATCCAAGACACAATACAATTTGAAACATAACAGGTGTTCAATATATGGTTACTACTTGTATTATTCAAAGACTTGCTGCTAGGAAGGGGGGCCTTGGAAATTCACTGAGATTTGGATGGAGCATAATTCTTCAATACAATGATTATCAATTTTCTCTTGAGTTTTATGCTTTTTTTTTTTTTTGTGAATCTGTTCCTCAAGCCTTTATTCCATGCCGTTATTTCCAGATTTCTTGCTATCCTAGTTGTTTACTTTTTCAACTCTGAACTAAAAGGAGAAATTAACTATAATGTTGATATTAGCTATAATATTTTTTAAAAAGTATATTGACATATTCTGGAATGAATATGTCCTATCTTCTTTATCTTTCTTGTACTCTGCAATTCTCTCCAGGCCTCCAGAACCAGATATTAACACTATTTACATCAGTTTCCTTCTCTGTTTTTTCCTATAGTGACATGATGATTTGCCACCTATATTCCCTTTAGGAAAGGACTTGCTGCCTGAGCTACTGGGAGTGCTGTCAGTAGTGGATTCTAGTTATCAGCCCCTTTAGGGATTGCCTCCATACAGCTGTGGGCAGACTTCTGTTAGTAGGATTTTAGTTATAAATACTTGAGTACCTTTGACAGCCTTGAAAAACACTACATTGTAATCTGCTGTCAGGTTCTCTGCACATGCGTACATGTTTTCAAAATGTCAGGACACTGAAATGGGTTAGTGAAGCATGCTAGATATTCTCCGAAGTCAGAACTCTGAAGGCATTCTTAAAAGGAACTCTCTTTCAATGTGTAAATAGCTGTACAGCCTATCATAATTTTCTATAAAAATACTCTTCTTTTGTTTTCTTTTCATTGATGTTATTTAAGCTATGGTTATTAGAACAGTGGTACAAAGAAAAAGTCAATATTTAATACAAATTTCCTTATACAGTTTATTTAATTATAATTCTAAATTATTTCTATACAATGTCATTAAAAGGGTTAAAAAACTGGAAGCTAGCTGGAATAAAAGAATCCTAAATAAAGCAAAGTGCACCTTCAAAGGAATTTCTTTTTTTTTTTTTTTGCTTTTGACAAGCAGAGTTAGACAGTGAGAGAGAGAGAGACAGAGAAAAAGGTCTTCCTTCCATTGGTTCACCCCCGAAATGGCCGCCACGGCCGGCGCGCTGTGCTGATCCGAAGCCAGGAGCCAGGTGCTTCTTCCTGGTCTCCCATGCGGGTGCAGGGCCCAAGCACTTAAGCCATCCTCCACTGCCTTCCTGGGCCACAGCAGAGCTGGACTGGAAGAGGAGCAACCGGAACAGAACCTGGCGCCCCAACCAGGACTAGAACCAGGAGTACCGGCACTGCAGGTAGAGGATTAACCTAGTGAGCCACGGTGCTGGCCCAGGAATTTCTTTTTCAATTGGGAAACATTAGCACAAGCATTCTGGTTAATCATTTTATCTACCTTTTACCTTTTCAAAATCTTCAGTTGTGAACTGTTTAGAAGCTACATAAAGCAACCCTTCAGGATCAATGGCTTTCTTTAAAGTATGTTGCACGGTAGGCAAAAGTGGATGGCAAGAAGATGATTCACTGCAGTTAATTAATAATCCAAATGCCTCTACCAGGTTAGCTGGAATCAAACTGCAATCCTACATCAAACCAAAAAGGTAATAGGCAAGCAGAAAACTCTGACATTTTAATAACTTAGACATAATTAATTATAAATCAATCATATGTATAATTTGTTATGTAAATAATTATTAATCATTATTTAAGACAATTTCTGAGTAAACTGGGAACTTTGTGGTGATTGACTTTTTTAAACAGCCTCTTTACTGAGCATTTTTATTCATTATTCATTAAAGATTCTCTTACTACCTATTTAAGTAGTTTCTACTGAGCAGAAACCTGATTTGATGACTAAAAACATAAAATTTTTAAACTACTAGGTCATAACTTATTTGTAGTACCTGGTAAAGTATGTGAATGAGTTAATAATAAAAACATTAAGAAGGTAGATTAAAATCTGTGACAAATTCCCTGAACAACAATTTAACAATAAAATGTATGTATTCCTTACCATCTGACCAATTAGAGTATTGGTTTTCTGTGCATTTCTTCTTAAAGATGAATCCATATCAACAAAAGACCAAAAACTGCACTGAACTGGAAAGGTCATTTGTTGATCAATATCATCCCCAAACTTCTTCCCTGGGATGTATACTCTAATGCTTCTGCTCTCCAGAACTGTCAGAAGACATTATCCATATGTTATTTCAGTTCATTTTGGCCTATAACTCTGTACATCAATAACAAATAGTACTGTATAGAATTTTACTGCCTAAATTTCTATAGTGAAGACACAAGTAAATTTGACTGCTTCGAAAGACACAATTAAACTATAGTATCTTTCAGAAAAGAACAAGACAAGAAAAATATTTGAATGTTTACATGTCCCATGATCTGATGAGAACCAGCAGTCTAAAGCACATAGCTGGAATTGTGATTAGGCATCTGGATGGAACAGGCAGTGGGCTAGGAGGTTGGTTGTATAGTGCAGGCTTACAAGGGAGACTGAAATTAAGAATGTACTTTCATGTGTTAGCAAAATGAAACAAAGTTGGCCACATATGTAGGAATAAGAGAAGACAAGACAGGAATATGAACTACAATGACTGAGGGAAATATATCTCACATTCAACATATTCAAAATCAACTCATTATTCAACTCTTCCCCAACCCCCATATCTCTATGTTCATTATTCACACTTGGTGGCATCATGATCCATCCACCTAAAAGCCAAAATGTAGAAACATCCTATTCTTTCTTTCACCTCTTTCTCATGGGTCATAGGATCAATGTATATTTTATATGGGGCCAGTGTTGTGGTGTAAAAGGTTAAGCCACTGTTTGCAACACTAGCATTCCATATTGGAGTATTGTTTCAAGTCCCAGCAACTCTACTTCTGATCCAGTTTCCTGCTAATGCACCTGGAAAGGCAGAAGAAGATTGCTCAAGTACTTGGGCCCCTGTCACCCATATGGGAGACCAGAATGGAGTTACAAGCTCCTGGCTTCAGCATGTTCAGATCTGGCTGTTAAAGCTATTTGGGGAGTGAACCAGTGGATGGAAGATCGATCTCTCTATCCCTCCCTCCCTCTTTTCTTTATCTGTCTTTCAAATAAATAAATACTTTAAAAGAAGATGCATGCATATTTAACTTCATAATAAAGAAACTGCCAGGGAAGTTTGCAAAATGGCTGTATCATTTTATACTTCCACAAACAATATATGAAAATCCTAGATGTTCCACCTCATCAACACTACTTTTTTATTGTAAGTATTCTTAATTTTTGTCATTCTAGTAGGCAGCTCCCATTACCTAATTTATGGAGCCTTGTGTAAAATGAAAATCTGGGCTCTTGTTCAAAAATTCAGAAAAATTCTTCTATGAAAAGTGCTAATATACAAAGCCTTTCCCTTTAAGCATATTACTTATAAAATGTAATTTTACCTATAAAATGTTTTAGAGATGATATGGTGAAATTGGACTCCCTATTCATTACTGATGAGAATGTACAATGGTGTGGCCACTGTGGAAAACGTGATTCTCAATAAGTTAAACAGAGTTACCATGAGGCCCAGGAATTCCACTTGTAGGTATATACCCAAAAAAGTTGAATACAGGGATTCAAATAGATACTTGTGTATCAGTGCTCATAGGAACACTATTCACAACAACCAAATAGTGGAAACAACACAAGCTTCTACCCACAGATGAAAGAATATTTTAAAAAGTATGACTGGTATTTGGCCTAGTGGTTGACATGCCCTCATCCAATATTGAAATGCTTGAGTTTGATGCCCACCTGTAGCTCCTGACTCCAGCTTCCAGCTGACTGTAGACCCTGGGAGGCAGTGATGACGACTCAAGTGAATTGGGTTCCTGCCACCCACATGGGAGACCTGGATTCAGTTCCTAGTTCCCAGTTCCCAGTTTAGGCCTCAGACCCATCTGGTCATTACAGACATTTCAGGAGTGAACCAGAGGATGGGAGCTCTTTCTTCCAGTCTTTCTGGTCTCAAATTTAAATTTAAAGGCAGAATGACAGGAGAGAGGAGAGAGGAGAAAGAAGAGAGAGAGAGAGAGAGAGAGGCACACAGAGAGAGAGAGAGAGACACAGAGAGAAAGACATCTTCCATCCATTGGTTCAACTCCCCAAATGGCCGCAATGGCCAGAATGCACTTCAATATGGGAGGTTGCCATTGCAGGCAGCAACCGAACCACAATGCTGGGTCCTCCCCCAAACAAAAGTTTTAAGTGGTATCATATAATAGAATATTATTCAGCCATAAAAATTAGTTGTTCTATTAATAGACAAATTACAGAGATGGAAAGTAGAACAGAGGTTACAAGGGGCTAGAGGGAGGGGAAAGAAGGGACTTATTGTTTCACAGGTACACAGTTTCTGTTTCGGATGATGAAACAGTTCTTGAAATGGACAGTGATGCTTATACAATATTGTTATGCTTTTAATGCCATTGGGTTGTACAATTAAAAATGGTTAAAATGGTAAACTTCATGCACAATTTATCTCCCTCTCAAAAAAAGAAATTAAGTACTGATACATGCTACAACATGGGGGAACTCAAAAACATTATGCTAAGTGAAAGAAGCCAATCAAGAAGATCACATATTGTATTCCATGTATATGACATTTATATGATTCTGTTTAGATGAAGTAGGATTTATTTATTTATTTATTTATTCATTTATTTATTTATATGGAATGTCCAGCTAGGTAAATTTATTTGAAATATCCAGAATAGGTGAATCTATACAGACAGAAAGCAATTAGTGGCTGCCAGGGACTACAGGCATAGGTGTGTGAGGAAAGGTCAGGATTGGGAGGTGACTGCTAATGGGTAAGGGATTTACTTTTGGTGTGGTAAAAATACTGTAATATTAGCTAGTAGTATATGGTTGCAAAACTCTATGAATATTCTCAAAAGCACTGAACTGTATGCACAATTTAAGTGGGTTAACTGTATGATGTGTGAATACCAATAAAGCTGTTAAAAATGTAATAGAAATAATTGCTATTCTAGGTGCCCAATGGGATGCTGGCACTGCACGTGGTGGCTTTACCCACTATGCCACATTGCCGGCCCCGCAATGGCAAATATGTGAGAATTTACCCTATATGTGGAAGCACTAGTAATTCATAAATGCACACTCTAACCAGAACAGTGAAGATACTGCATAAAACTTATTTCATGGCTTGACATACACACATTTCACCAATAGTTTCTATCCTCAGCTATATCATTTTCAGTATAAGTGGTTGGCAAATAAAGAGATATAACCAGGTAAGAAAGGATGCTAAAGGGGTTTGTTGGTCATCTATGTTTTTTTTGTTTGTTTGTTTTAAGACAGGCAGAATTAGACAGTGAGAGAGAGAGAGACAGAGAGAAAGGTCTTCCTTCCATTGGTTCACCCCCGAAATGGTCGCTACGGCCAGCATGCTGCGCTGATCCAAAGCCAGGAGCTAATGCTTCCTCCTGGTCTCCCATGCAGGTGCAGGGCCCAAGGACCTGGGCCATCTTCCACTGCCTTCCCGGGCCACAGCAGAGAGCTGGACTGGAAGAGGGGCAACCTGGACAGGACCAACGCCCCAACCAGGACTAGAACCGGGGTGCCGGTGCCGCAGGTGGAGGATTAGCCTAGTGAGCCATGGCACCGGCCGGTCATTTATGTTTCTTAAAACACCATTGCTGCTATAACTAGTACTCAAAGAGTATTTTACACTTTGTGTTTCTGTGTGGGTGCAAACTGTTGAAATCTTTAATATATGCTAAATTGATCTTCTGTATATAAAGATAATTGAAAATGAATCTTGGCTGGTGCTGCGGCTCAATAGGCTAATCCTCTGCCTGCGGCGCCAGCACACTGGGTTCTAGTCCCGGTCGGGGCGCAAGATGCTGTCCCAGTTGCTCCTCTTCCAGTCCAGCTCTCTGCTATGGCCCAGGAGTGCAGTGGAGGATGGCCCAAGTCCTTGGGCCCTGCACCCCATGGGAGACCAGGAGAAGCACCTGGCTCCTGCCTTCGGATCAGCGTGATGCGCTGGCCACAGCGCGCCGGTCGTGGCGGCCATTGGAGGGTGAACCAACGGCAAAAGGAAGACCTTTCTCTTTGTCTCTCTCTCACTGTCCACTCTGCCTGTCAAAAAAAAAAGAAAAAAAGAAAAAGAAAATGAATCTTGATGTGAATGGAAGGGGAGAGGGAGCGGGAGAGGAGAGGGTTGCGGGTGGGAGGGAAGTTATGGGGGGTGAAAAGCCACTGTAATTCATAAGCTGTACTTTGGAAATTATATTCATTAAATAAAAGTTAAAAAAATTTTAAAAAACACCATTTCTTTCTTTCTGCATTAGAAGTGTTTGGTTCAGGGGCTGGTGCTGTGGCATAGCAGGTAAAGCTTGCCTGCAACACTGGCATCCCATATGGGTACTGGTTGGAGTCCCAGCTGCTCCACTTCCAATCTAGCTCCTTACTGGGGTGCCTGGGAAAGCAGCAGAGGATGGCCCAATTCCTTGGGCCCCTGTACTCACATGGGAGACCCAGAGGAGGCCTTGTTGTGGCCATTTGGGAAGTGAACTAGCAGATGGAAGGTTTCTCTCTGTGACTCCTCTCTCTAACTCTGCCTTTACATAAATAAATAATTTTTTTTAAAGTGTTTGGTTCAAAAGGAAGGCATGGCCTTTTGTGACTATTGGCCTCCCCTCTTACACAGTTGATGACCTTTTGATATAGAATATGAGCACTGAATTGCAATACACACACCATGCATGGCAGTCCAACAAAATTCAAAGTGAATCCAAATTCAGTGTGTTATGGAAGCAACACAGTGGTCATAAATATTTTAGGAATAGAGCAGCAAGACTGGTAAACACATGTATGCATGTGTCTCTTCTGGTCACTTTCAATCTCCATTTTCTCACTGCACTTCCTTAAAAAATAGATAAATTCAAAGATAAAATTATGGGCCAGGTGCTTGGCCTAACACTTAAGACACCAGGTTGGGATGCCCATGTGCCATATCAGAGTCTGACTCTGCTTCCAATTTCAGCTTTCTGTTAATGCACAGCCTGGAAGGAAGCAAATGTTGGCTCAATTACTTGGGTCCCTGACACTCTCATGAGAGACCTGAAATGAATTTCTGGCTCCTACCTTCAGCTTGGCCCAGCCCCATCCATTGCAGTCTTGGACATTTAGAGAGTGAACAGGCAGATGGGAGCTCTAGCTCTCTCAGTCTCTCTGCCTCTCAAATAAAATAGATAGGGAGAAGGGATATACTATGTGCAGTGAGCATTCTTGTACATTCGTGTCAAGAAGGCAAGGAAAGCCTTGATGGCTCTTTTCCTAGTCCACAGCTGTCCATATCCTTATTTGCTACAAATGTGACCAACCATCATTTCCCTAATACTCAGATCACACACACATATTTCAAGAAAAGCAAAAACAAAACCAAAAATTACAGGCCAGTATCTTTCAAGAACATAAAAGCAAAAATCCCCAACAAAATAATAGCAAATCAAATATAACATGTATAAAAAATAACTATACACCATGATCAAGTAGAATTTATCCCATGTATGCAAGGCTGGTTCAATGTTAAAAAAAATCAATATAATACATCACGTAACAGGCTGAAGGAGAAAATCATATGATCATATTAGTAGAAACAGAAAAAGCATGTGACAAAACCCAATGCTCATTCATGATGATTAAAAAAACTCATCAGATTAGGAATAGAGGAGAACTTCCTCAACTTGATAAAGCACATCTACAAAAAAAAAAAATGTATAGCTAATATTCTTAATGGTGGGAATCTCAAAGCTTTCTTAATAAGATTAGGAACAAGGCAAGATGTCACCTCTCACTAATGGTTTTCAGCATTGAACTAGAAGTCCTAGTTAATGTAATCGATAAAGAAAGGAAATAAATCTAACCTAATTAAAAACTCTCATGTTAGCACAACAGAAAACAAGGCTAAAATAAATTCTTGTTTTTATTAACAAAATTGAAATGAGAAATAGCATTCAATGTAATTTTTCAATTCCTAAACACATACAATACAATCTTAACTGTAAACTCCTTGACTCAGATGAAAGTATAGGTTAAACAGATGAAAGTTAATTTGAAAAAAATGTTGTTTACCTGATTGAAGCTGTTCAAGTTTATCTTTTTTGTGCGAAGCCAAGTCTCCTATAAAGCAAATACCACCTTTAGCTAGCAAAGCACTGCCAGCTTGAATGCTAACTGCTCCAGTTCCATATTTATTCCTGGATAGAGTAGGAAAGATTTCAGTAGAGGCTAGATGGCGTATACCACGGGGAACAAGGTTTATGCTAAAATTCAAAAGCCTAGGGAAAAATAATGTTATTCATTATTATTATTTAATGTTTTATTTTCAGAAGCCATAATATGTTAGCAGGTAGAAAACAAATAAATTTTTAAAAGATGCTACAATTCTGTTTATTTATCATTTATATATTTATTTGAGGTAAAGATATTTACACAGATAAAAAGAGCTCCCATTCATTGGTTCATTCCCCAAATGCCCCCTATAGCCAGGTCTGGACCTGATTGAATTTGGGAGCCAGTAACTATCAATCCAGGTTTCCTTGGTGGTAGGAACCTAGCTATATGATTAGTTATTGCTGCTTCCTAGGGTATGTATTAGTAGAAGGCTGGAATCAGGAGCTGGAACTGACACTCCAACCCCGTACTCCAACATGGGATGTGGGTGCCCTAATTGACATCTTTATTGCTATGCCAAATGCCCACCCCCAATTAAATTTACTTTGATTCAATATTTATTGAGTACCTGTGATATGCCAGCTATGTGTTAAGGATAAAAACATACTTTGTGACTTCAAAAAGTTTGTGGAAAAATGGAATGAAAAGATTATTTTAGTGAAAAAACATTGAAACCTATGCATGTCTTTTCATGTGTTTTCCATGAACTTTTTGAAGACCCCAAATATATGAAACATAGTCCTTAACTTGGAAAGCTCACAGTCTAGAGAGATTAAAAAACAAAAACAACGGCCGGCGCCGTGGCTCAATAGGCTAATCCTCCACCTTGCGGCGCCGGCACACCAGGTTCTAGTCCCGGTCGGGGCGCCGGATTCTGTCCCGGTTGCCCCTCTTCCAGGCCAGCTCTCTGCTATGGCCAGGGAGTGCAGTGGAGGATGGCCCAGGTGCTTGGGCCCTGCACCCCATGGGAGACCAGGAAAAAGCACCTGGATCCTGGCTCCTGCCATCGGATCAGCGCGGTGCGCCGGCTGCAGCGGCGGCCATTGGAGGGTGAACCAACGGCAAAGGAAGACCTGTCTCTCTCTCTCACTGTCCACTCTGCCTGTCAAAAAAAAAAAAAAAAAAAAAAAAAAAAAAAAAAAAAAAAAAAAAAAAACCTAAACCACAATGTGATAAGTACTACAAAAATGTCTTGAGAACGTTCATAACGGAGTATAGCTTTCCTGGAAAGGAGTCAGAAAACTACAGAGAGATGATATTTGAATAGGGTCTTCCTCTTTCTATAATTGGTTCATTTTGCTTTTTCAGAATTTTGGCACTGGATTTTCCAATATCCCATCCTGACTATCCCTGTTGCCTCTGTATCATGGCAACTCTTGATGCATCCTTTTGGTTTCTAATGTCTGTCTCATTATTTTTTGAATTCAAATTCTAAGAAAGGAATATGAATCTTATTTTAGCTTTCAAATCTTCACCACAGAAATCATAGCTTGCTAGTGCAATCAACTATAATGAGCAGACACAGATACACAATGCAAAGGCTGATGAGGTAGTATCTCTGAGATGTAGATAGTTAAATGCTACAAAATGTGACTAGTATATGTACCATTCCAAAGAACTCAATAGCTTGAAGATACATAAAGTGAGGGTATGATATGTAGAAAGAAACTTTTTACAAGCCTACATAGGAATGATTCTCAACCCTATCCTGCATTACTATCACCTGGGGAGCTTTTAACACATTCCAGCAAAAATCCCCATGGCAAATCATTTAAATTCAAATGTCTAGGAATGGGAAATAATCACAAATATGTTTTAAAACTTCTCCCAGGGCTGGCGCCGTGGCTCACTAGGCTAATCCTCCGCCGGCACACCGGGTTCTAGTCCCGGTCGGGGCGCCGGATTCTGTCCCGGTTGCCCCTCTTCCAGGCCAGCTCTCTGCTGTGGCCCGGGAGTGCAGTGGAGGATGGCCCAAGTGCTTGGGCCCTGCACCCCATGGGAGACCAGGAGAAGTACCTGGCTCCTGCCATCGGATCAGTGCGGTGTGCCGGCTGCAGCACGCCAGCCGCGGCGGCCATTGGAGGGTGAACCAACGGCAAAAGGAAGACCTTTCTCTCTGTCTCTCTCTCTCACTGTCCACTCTGCCTGTCCAAAAAAAAAAAAAAAAAAATCAATTGTATTTCTATGTTTGTAGAGAACAAATGAAAATGAAATTAAGAAAACACAGGGCCTTGGGGCCAGCATTGTGGCACATAGCAGGTGAAGCTGTCACTTGTAATGCCAGCATCCCATATCAGAAACTTTAGAAGAAAATTTTCTATTTTTAATTGTTTTAAAATATGTATTTATTATTTGAATGATAAATAATAGGGAAAAAGGAACACAGAGAGAGAAAGATCTTCCATCTACTGATTCACTCCTCAAATGGCCACAACATCCAGGGCTGGGCCAGATTGAAGTAGAAGCCCAGAATTCCATCCAAATTTCCCATGTGGATGGTAGGGGCCCAAGCACTAGAGACATTTTCCACTGCTTTCCCAGGCACATTGCAGGGAGCTAGATCAGAAACAGAGCAGTATGGATTTGAACCAGCACTTAGATATGGGATGCCAGTGTTGCAGGCAGCAACTTAACCCGAGGATCCACAACACCTGCCCCAAGAAGGAAACTTTAAAAAAAATCTTTATGCCCTTGTGGCAGGCATAGATTTCTAAAATAGAACCCAAGGCAGGGCATTTGGCTCAGGTGTCACAGTGTTTCATGGGATGCCTGTATCACATATGGGAGTCCCTGGATTTGAGTCCTAGCTCTGCTTCTGATTCAGCTTCCTCCTAGTGTGCACACTGGGAAGCAGCCAGTGATGGCTGAAAGTACTTGGGTCCCTGACCCCTTAAGGTAGGCCTGGATTAGGTTCTGTGCTCCAGACTTTACCTTGGTCCAGTCCTAGCTGTTGGGATTATTTGGGGAGTGAAAGTGTGGATGGAAGCTATCTTTACCTTTCAAATAAAATGAAAATAAAGAAATAACAAATAAGTAAAAATAAAATAATAAATAATAATGTAAATAATAAATAAAATTAAATAATAAAAAATAAAATAAAAATATAAAACCAGAACCCTGAAAACAATGATCATAAAAGAACTTAATAAATTGAACTTCATCAAAACTAAAAAAATCTGTTCATCAAAGATAACTTTAGGGAAAAAAAATTTATCACTTTTTTAAAAAGATTTATTTATTTTTATTTGAAAGAGTTACATAGAGAGAGAGAGAGAAAGGTCTTCTATCCGCTGGTTCACTCCCCAATTGGCTGCAACAGCAGGAGCTGTGCCAATCCGAAGCCAGGAGCCAGGAGCCAGGAGCTTCTTTCAGGTCTCCCATTTGGGTGCAGGGGCCCAAGGACTTGAGACATCTACTACTTTCCCAGGCCATAGCAGAAAGCTGGATTGGAAGTGGAGCAGCCAGGACTTGAACTGGTATCCATATGGGATTCCAGCACTGCAGGTGGCGGCTTTATCCGCTAAGCCACAGTACCAACCTCAGGAAAAAATTTTTTTGAAGATTTATTTATTCGAAAGGCAAAGTCACACAGAGAGAGGGAGAGGGAGAGGGAGAAGGAGAGAGAGGGAGAAGGAAAGAGAGAGAGAGAGAGAGAGAGAGAGAGAGAGAGAGAGAGAGAGAATCTTTCATCTGTTGGTTCATTCCCCAAATGGTCACAATGGCCAGGACTGGGTCAGACAGAAGCCAGGAGCCAGGAGCTTCTTCTTGTGGGTGCAGGGGCCCATGCACTTGGACCATCCTCCACTGCTTTTGCCAGTGCATTAGCAGGGAGCTGGATCAGAAGTGTTGCAGTCAGGATTCAAACTGACACCCATATGGGATGCCTGTGTTGTAGGCAGTGGCTTTACCCACTATGCCACAATGCCGGCCCCAAGAAAAATATTTTTTAAAAATATTTTGACTGGGATAAAAATTTTATAATACACATATGTGACAAAGAACATGTATTCTGAACAATCCAACTAAAAAATGAGTGTCTTCATAAAAGAAGATATACAATAAACACACAAAAAAGGCTTACACCAGTGCTCATCAGATAAATGCAAAGCAGAATCATGTTATATTGGGGCCGCCGCTGTGGCGTAGTGGGTAAAGCTGCCACCTGCAGGGCCAACATCTCATATGGGCACCATCTTGAGTCCCGACTGCTTCACTTTCAATCCAGCTCTCTACTATGGCCTGGGAAAGCAGTGGAAGATGGCCCAAGTGCTTGGGCCCTTGCACCCATATGGGAGACTGGAAGAAGTTCCTGGCTCCTGGCTTTGGATCGGCTCAGCTCCAGCCATCTGGGGAGTGAACCAGCAGAGCAATGGAAGACCTCTTTCTCTCTGCCTCTCATTCTCTCTCTGTGTAACTCAGACTTTAAAATAAATAAATAAATCCTAAAAAAAAAAAAAAAAAAAAAGAACCACATTATACCATTTCTCATCCACTAGAATGACTAAAATGAAAGACCAAAAACAACAAATATTGGTCAGGACCAGAACTAGTAGAACTCATATCTACCTTACAATCAACTCCTAGGTATTTACCCAAAATAATGAAAATATATGCCTACAAAAAGGCTTATATAAGTATGTTTATGGGGCTGGTGCCCTGGCACAGTGGGTTAAAGCCTGCAGCACTGACATCCCATATGGGTGCCAGTTTAAGTCCTGGCTGCTCCTCTTCCGATCCAGCTCTCTTCTATGGCCTGGGAAAGCAGTGGAAGATGGCTCAACTCCCTGGGCCCCTGCACCCACATGGGAGACCTGGAGGAAGCTTCTGGCTTCTGGTTTCGGATCAGCTCAGCTCTGGCTGTTTCAGTCACTTGGAGAGTGAACCAGCAGAATGGATGATTTCTCTCTCTCTCTCTCTCTCTCTCTCTCTCTCTGGCTGTACTTCTCTCTGTAACTCTGTCTTTCAAATAAATAAAATAAATCTTTAAAAGAAAATAAAAGAATGTTTATGGCCTGTGATTGTGGCATAGCAGGTTAAGCCACTGCCTACAATGCAGGATACCATATGGGTGTTAGTTGGAGTCCCAGCTGCCCTGCTTCCGATGCAGCTTCGGGCTAATGTGCCTGGGAAAGCAGCAGAAGGTGACCCAAGTCTTTGGGCTCCTGAGCCCAGGTGGGAGACTGGGATGAAGCTCCTAGTTCCTGGCTCCTTGCTTTTGCCTGTTCCAGCCCCATGTGTTGCAGCCATCTGGGGAGTAGACCAGCAAATGGAAGATCACTTGCTCCCTCTCTTTCTGTAACATTGCCTTTCAAATAAATAAAATAAATCTTAAAAAAAAAAAAAGAATGTTCATGGAAGTTTTTTAAATAACTGTCAAAACATGCAAAATCCAAATGGCCATCAGTTAAGAGGATGGATAAACAAATATTGACACTCATATCATGAGAAATTCTTCATCAGTCAAAACAATGAACTACTGATGCACACAAATGGAATAATTTCAAAAACATTATGTTGAGCGAAAGATAACTAGATCCCCAAAAATGCACTACATTATTCTATTTATATTAAGTTCAAGATCAGGAAAATTAATCTACTGGGACGCAAATCGCCTGTGGAGATAGTACTGACTAGAAGAGGGAAATTTCTGGAGTGATGGAAATTTTCTGTTTTTTAGTGTGGTGGTGATTACAGGAATATATGCATTTGTCAAGGCTCATTGACTGGGGCCGGCACTGTGGCATAGTAGGCTAAGCCTCTGTCTGTGGTGCTGGTTTGTGTCCCCAGCAGTTTGTTTTCTGATCCAGCTCTCTGCTAATGTGCTTGGGAAAGCAGTAGAAGATGGCCCAAGTGCTTAGGCCCAGAAGAAGCTCCTGGCTCCTGGCTTCAGATAGGCCCAGTTCCGATTGTTGCGGCCATTTGGGGAATGAACCAGTGGATAGAAGACCTTTCTCTCTGTCTCTTCCTCTCTTTATCTGTAACTCTACCTCTCAAGTAAATAAATAAAATCTTAAAATAAAAAAAAAACCTCATTGATTATTTTGAATGAGAAACAAAAACCAAATCTGTCATACAGCCCCAAATACCATAACAAAAGTCAAAAGGTTAATGATGAACAGGAAAAGACAAGCGCCTTGATTTTCAACAAGCATCACAAATCAATAAGAAATATGTGAATATTGCAATAAAAAATGAATAATGATCATGAAGAGGAGGTTCATAGAAAAATAATATAAGGTTTTAATAAGCCCTTAATGATGCCAAAAGTTTTTCCAATTAATGAAATGGAAATTAAAATCAAACAGCATTTTCCACCCATCAGATGGCAAAATGTAAAAGTTTGGGGCTGGTGCTTGGTGTAGTAGGTTAAGTATCCACCTGTGGCACCGACATCTCATATGGACACTGATTTAAGTTCCGGTTGTTCCACTTCTTATCCAGTTCCCTGGATGACCTGGGAGGGCAATGGAAGATAGCCCAAGAGCTTTAGCTCCTACATCAGTGTAGGAGACCCTGAAGAAGCTCCTGGCTCCTGGCTTTAGATCAGCCCAGCTTCAGCCATCATGGCCATTTGGGGAGTGAACCAGCAGATGGAAGATCTCTCTCTTTCTGTCTGTAACTCTGTCTCCCAGGTAAATAAATAAATCTTTTTTAAAAAAATGTGAAAGTTTGAAATTACCCAGAGTTGGTGTGGTTGTGAGGAAACAAACACTTCATTCTCCATTAGTAAGAAGAATAAATTGGTGCAATCTCTAGCATTAGCCACCATATTTACCCTGTCAGTGGCAATTTAATTTTGGCAAAACATCTATTCAATTAAATTCATGTCAATTTGACTTTTCTTTAAAAATTTTAAATTTATCTTATAAATTTATTTTTGACATAATTCTATATAATATGAGCACTTAACTTTTTTTTTTATAAAAGGGTACTTATAATTGGGGAGCCCCAAAATGCTGAGAAACTTATTCCACGATTAGGATGATGTCCCCACCAACTGTGGCACTTTTGAAAGCCTTATTTGGGTATACTGAATCAATGTTATTGAATGGAATTTTGTAAAAAAAATGAAAACTGACTTACCTGTCTATAATTAATGTATCACTTGTTATAATTAAAATATCCAGACAATCTTGTTCCTTGTTTCGATCACTTGTCTGTACTAGACTCATCAACAAACAGAGTTTGAGCAAATTATAAGTCCCAGGAGGAACAATTTGTGTTGCAAAGATATTTGCAAGTATTGCTGTAAACTTCCAGCATGAGCTAGAAGTCAAGGAGAGGAGACATCTGAAGTTGTCACTAACTCCTGAGGGAACTGAAAGCAAATATTAAAATCTATATTATAAAGAGTTTTAAAGACAAAACAAAAAAACACGTTTTAAACTTTTTTGTTTTTATTATTTTTAAGATTTATTTATTTAAAAGGCTGAGTGATAGAGAGATAGGAAGAAACAGAGAGAGAGAGCGAGAGAGAGAGAGAGAGAGAGTTTCCATCCACTGCTTCACTCCCTAAATGATGGCAACAGTCTGGGCTGGACTAGGCTGATGCCAGGACCCTGGAACTCCATTTGGGTTCCCCACGTGGGTGACAGGAGTCCAAGGACTTGAGCCACCTTCTTCGGCTTTCCAAGGTGCATTAGCAGGGAGCTGGATCAGAAGGAAAGCAGCCGGGACTCCAACAGGAACTCTAATAAGGGATGTCAGCATTGCAAGCAGTAGTTTAACCTGTTGCATCACAATGCCGATCCCAGAATTTTTTGAATCTAAAATATTTTTTGTGGCAAGCGTTTGGGGCAGTGGTCAAGTTGCTGCCTGGGACGCTTGCATCCCATATTAGAGTCCTTGGGTTCGAATTCTGGCTCTGCTTCCCATCCAGCTTTCTGCTATTATGCACCATTGGTAGCAGGCAATGGCTCAAGTAGTTCGGTCCTTATAACTCATGCAGGAGACCTAGATTGGTTCCAGGCTTCTGGCTTTGGCCTGGCCTAGCCGCAGCTCTTGTAGGCATTTGTGGAGTAAGCCAGCAGATGAAAAAAATCACTTTCTCTTTTTGCATTTCAGATAAATAAATAATAAATTTCTTTTATTAAATTTCTTAAATCTTTTATTAAATTTTATAAAAATATTTAATTAAATTTATTAAATAATAAATTTCTTAAATCTCTTTTTGCATTTCAGATAAAAATAATGAATTTGGGGCTGGTGCTGTGGTGTTGCAGGTAAAGCCACTGCCTACAGTGCTGGCATCCCATATAGGCACCGGTTTGGGTCCTGGCTGCTGCTCTTCTGATCCAGCTCCCTGCTAATGTGCCTGGGAAATCAGTAGAAGATGGCCCGAGTCCTTGGGCCCCTACACCCATGTGAGAGACCCAGAAGAAGCTCCAGGCTCCTGGCTTCGGATCAGCCCATCTCTGGCTGTTGTGGCCATCTGGGAAGTGAACCAGCAGATGGAAGATTGCTCTCTCCTCTGCCTCTGCCTCTCTGTAACTCTGCCTTTCAAATAAATCAATAAATCATTAAAAAAAAAGTTAAAAAAATTAGTAAATTTTAAAATGATCAGTTTGTAGCTCTTTTAATGATACCATATTCAACTTTTTTTTTTTTTAAGATTTATTTATTTATTTATTTGAAAGGCAGAGTTACACAGAGGTAGAGGCAGAGGCAGAGAGAAAAAGATCTTCCATCTGTTGGTTCACTCCCCAAATGGCCGCACTGGCCAGAGCTGGGCCAATCTGACTAATCTCTAACTCTTAGCACCTGAAATATTTTGCTCATTGTTAATTATAAAACTGCAAAAACCAAGGTTTAGAGTGGGTGTTTGATGTAGTGGTTAAGACAGTACAAGAAATGCCTGCATCATGGGTCCAAGTCCCAGCTCTGCATTTGATTCCAGCTTCCTGCTAATCTGCATCTTGGAAGGTAGCAGATGATGACTCAAGTGGTTGACTCCCTGCCACCCATGTAGGAGAGCAGTACCAAGTTTCCAGCTCCTGGCTTTGGTCTGGCCCAGCCCTGGGTGTTGTAGGTATTTGGAGAGTGAACTAGTGGATGGAAGATATGCCTTTTGAATAAAATAAATAAATATTTTTTAAAAGCTTATCTCACAGTTGGCAAGTTTCTACAATGTCATCTTATTTAATTTCCTTCTTGGCACTTAATGTCTGCGCTTGTTTTATTGGTTGGCATACATGTTTGCTGACTGTCTACCAGATAATTTAAGAGTAGGAACTTTGTCCTGTTCACAACTATATTCCTAGTGCTTACAAGAGTGCCCAGCACTTAGGCAAACAATATTTATTTGCTGAACAAACATTTAAATCTAAATATTTGTTAATTTACAATACTAACATTCTCCTTACCTTTTGGATTGCAAAAAGTGATGCTATTTGCTTCTATACACACAGCAGTTTGTGAGGTTTTTACACAGGTTGGGATTCCAATAATTTTATACTCATTTCCTATATTCATTTTGTTCACTAATTCATCTAAAATTATTAAACACAGAAGAAAATATATATTCACTAAATGAAACTTACACACAATTGTATTATTCAAAGATACAGAACCACTAACAATTCAGTAGTTCACTTAGTAATGAATTATTCACTTTTGATTAGTATACTGCACATATATAGCAGCACTCTTAATGTAAATTGAGGTAATTTTTATTGCTGATAAATTTTGATACTTATTAGGAATTAATTTCAAAATACTTGTGACATATCAGCTAGATATTCTAGTACAATAGTGACTTTTGACAACAGTAAAAAATCATTCTATATAAGATGAAACATCTTTGCATTAAATGACAATTAATGTTAATAAAAATGACTTATAAACAATATTTTTCAGGAAGAAAATAATTTTGAAAAGTATCATTCATTGTCTACAATATCTGGTACATACAAACACACACAAGATGTAATTATATAGTATAAAATAGATACCCTTACCTCCACATTATATACAAAGAAATCAAGAGGCTAAGTCACTTTCACAGAGCTAAATAACAGTAAGCAGCAAAACAAAAATTTACATCTATTTCCCCCTGCCTCCAAACTCTCCCCTCTTCTTTACCCTTGCCCTGGGCAGCATGTGAGCCCAGGTGATAAGAAATAATTTGAATCTAGCAATTACTATGTGCCAGACACTTTTACATAGTAACTCATTGAGTCACAGCAACTCAATAGGGTAGGTTCTCCTGTTAGAAAAAGACTGAACCTTATTCACATGTTCACAGTTCTGAATTCTCAATGAAGACTCATTCCCTATGTGACGTGTTGATAATGACTTCCTCTGTCACAGAATTCTCATTGGTACTTACCCAGGCAGTTCTCAACAGTTAATTATATGTAATGCTCATTCATTTAATTAACAAGTATCTATTGAGTTTTTCCTATGTGTGGTAAAGAAACAAAGTCCTTACTGTCAAGAAGCTTATGTTCTAAAACAATAACCCCAATGTTTACGTGAGACACACATAACAGATAATGGGACATTAAGATGACTCTGATCCTGGGACTTAGCATAATGCTTGGGACTTGGCAAATGCTAATATTTTTTAAGTGAATGCTGTATGTCTGAATGAATAATTGACACATTAGCTGAATGACTCTACAAAAATACTCAAGAATAAGAAGAGTTGTGAATACTAAGCTATGGAAGTACCATTTATAATATAAAAGCACAAATAAGACAGGCCCATGTTTTATAGCAGTTTGTTTTGAGTTCAAAGAGAACTTACCTCTTAGGAAAATTGTAAGAGATTGAAACCTAAATGGCTGGTTGTTGGAAAATCCTTGAAAAGCATGAAGTGCCTTTGTGGCAATTATTTCAACTATCTGTTTATCTTTAGACAGGGAATAAAAAAGAATTAGTTATTAGAATATGTATTCAATTTAATTTCCATATTAAAATAGCAGGCACTGGGCAGGTATTTGGTGCAGCAGTTAAGATGTTGCTTAAGATGTCACATCCTTGGCTGGCACCATGGCTCACTAGGCTAATCCTCTGCCTGCAGTGCCAGCACACCGGGTTCTAGTCCCAGTTGGAGCGCCGGATTCTGTCCCGGTTGCTCCTCTTCCAGTCCAGCTCTCTGCTGTGGCCTGGGAGTGCAGTGAAGGATGGCCCAGGTCCTTGGGCCCTGTACCTGCATAGGTAGACCAGGAGGAAGCACCTGGCAACGTGCTGCCCCATAGCAGTCACTTGGGGGGTGAACCAATGGAAAACCTTTCTCTCTGTCTCTCTCTCTCTCACTGTTTAACTCTGCCTGTCAAAAAAATAATAATAAATAAAAACAGATGCCACATCCTATATCAGAGTGTGTAGGATTAAGTCCTGGTTCTGCTTCCAATACCAACTTCCTGCTAATGCACAGGGTAGGAGGCAACAGATAAGTACTTAGATCCTTGTTAACCATGTAGGGGACCTAGATTGAGTTCCAGGCTCCTAGCTTCATTCTGGCCCCGTCCTGGCTGTTGTGGGCATTTGGAGAGTGAACCAGCAGATGGAAGATCTCTGTCTCTGTCTGTCTTTCTGTGTCTGTCTCTCTACCTTTCAAATAAATGAAAATAAAATTTAAAAAAAATCAGACACTCTCTTAAAATTTTAATTACAAAATGTAATTGAATTTTTACCACCAAGTACTCTAAATTTTCTGTCTTCTTGAAGTGAAGAGGCACATAGATCACACAAAAAGTCATTTCTTATTGTAGCAGATTCTGTAGCACCAGGCACATGCACTCTTATATACTGAAATCCTGAAAACAAAACAAAACAAAAACAACAGTGGTCAGCTAAATTTGTTTTCAGATTTAACTATTTTCCATCATTTAATATGAATCCAATTCAAAGTATGTATTTTGCTTTTGGGCTCAGAGTAATTCAATTAACATTTATTGCATGACTTGCTAAATACTGTGCTAAGAAGCTGGTGGATACATAATCTCTCTATATGTGGCTATGGGAAACCTAAGTTCAGAACATTCATAGAGAAGAGAGGTGAGCCATCTAACCCAATGAGAGATGAGGATAGATAAATGGAAAAGAACCCGGAAAAGGACTGAAATGAAGTTAAGTCAAAGGGTTTGATTGAGGAAACAGTGTTGAACAGTCATGAAGCAATGTGTGAGAAGACCAAGTATTTGGCAATATAGGAGTACTATTTAAGTTGGAGGTGGGAACAGAGGAAAAGAAAGCATTTCAAGTTTATTCAAAGTAAAGTTGCAAACATTAGATGTCAAATTTTATTCCATTCTTTCTAATCTGTTTCATAAGTAAGTACAAATATAACAGCAATAAATAATAGATTCATGATATTTTTTATTTTATATTTTAATATTTACCTTTTGAAAGAGGGCAAGCTTCATCTGAACAAAGAAATCTTGCACCTTGTGTGTACTTGGTTACTGTCGTCATTGCAATCACAATTCCTTGCATCATATAATATCTCTGAGATGTATAATCAAGTGGAAACTCACAAAGATCAAGACCATAACTTGGCAGAGGAGGTAAATGTGTTAATTTCAGCACTATATTAATCTAATGAGAACATAAAAATGGTATTAACAGAAATCGTAGCTCCAATTGGACTTGTGTTACAAGGTAGTAAGTAGATTGTAGAACAACTCAAGTAATTGATACATTAGTGTTGTTAGGAATCGTAATTTTAAGTATAATTGAAAATGAGTATAAAATTAAAGAAGTAAAAATCTTATATGCTAACATTTTAACTGATAATACCATTATAAACATTTTTCACTAAAGCATGCATTTCCTGGTCATTTCCAGTAAAAACACTTAAAAAACAATGGTCTTATAGTATTTAACACTCTTGGCACCCAGATCATGCTTTCTTTTTTTTTTATTTTTTTTTTTTATTTTTGACAGGCAGAGTGGACAGTGAGAGAGAGAGACAGAGAGAGAAAGGTCTTCCTTTTGCCGTTGGTTCACCCTCCAATGGCCGCCGCTGCAGCCGGCGCACTGCGCTGATCCGATGGCAGGAGCCAGGATCCAGGTGCTTTTCCTGGTCTCCCATGGGGTGCAGGGCCCAAGCACCTGGGCCATCCTCCACTGCACTCCCTGGCCATAGCAGAGAGCTGGCCTGGAAGAGGGGCAACCGGGACAGAATCCGGCGCCCCGACCGGGACTAGAACCCGGTGTGCCAGCGCCGCAAGGTGGAGGATTAGCCTATTGAGCCACGGCGCCGGCCAGATCATGCTTTCTAAATATTAATCATGAAAAGGGACCAGGGATCTTTTGGGGGGAAATAGCTCATTCCAGATCAGGTACAGAAAATTGGACCCTGAGGAGCATCTTCTGCCAGATATCAAGGGAGCTATTACAAATGAATGCAAAGGAAAAAAAGAAAAAAGAAAAATTAATGACATCGTTTGTCATAAGGACACAAGAGCAAACTTGAAGGGGCTCCCAATGATCAAAGGCAGAATAATGTAAGAATCAAAAAGAATGACAGAGATTCATTGAAATGTATGAGATATATTAAGAAGTTCATGAGTTTTTTTCATATTTAAAAACAGGAAAAACAAAAAAATGGTCATTGCAACCTGCTAGATTTCAATTTATTATTCTTTGAAAATTAATAAAGAAAAAAAATCAAACATTTATCCTGTCTTTGCTGTACAAATTATATTTCAGAGTTACCGAACTGGTGAAACTTTTCTTTCATAGAATATTTCAGCTAATAAATTCAGAAAGGATGCCAAATTAGGAGTGGAAAATCACAATTTTGCAGCTCTACTGGAATAAAAGATTATAAGCAGTGAATATCAATGGTTGCTAAAACCACTATGTGAAAGTTAATGGGAAACTGTATAATGAAAAGATCAGAAAGACATCATTTTAATCCACTGATCAGTTGTGACATTGCTGAAGTATGACAACAATAATTATATACTTCAGACATAGTGTAATATAGAATACATGACACTAATTATGATGTATTCTTATCTAAATGAGATCAATCTGAATCTAAAAAGTCTTTTAGAAATATATGACATAGGGGAAAATTAAACAGCATCACAAGAAAGCCACCAGACGAATTCAGATTATGTAGTATTTTATAGAGAAATTAACTAGTTTAAAAAGTCACTGGAATAAAAAAGAGGGGAGAGGGAATGGTTCTATGTTGAAAGAAGTAAGTGAGATATAAGAACTAATTAAAATGTTATAGACCTTATTTTGATCCTGACTTGAACCAACCAATTGTAAGTTATAGCCCTATCTAAATACTAATGGAGTTTATGGAATCAAAAGGCTCCCATAGCCTTGGCAGCTCATGATAAGTTTTATGATCCCTGGCATCATAAATAAGAGTGTCAATTGTTAAATCAACAAGAGTCACTGTGCCCATGTAGGACCTCTGTCCTTAATGTGTTGTACTATGAGAATAAACAGTGAAACTTGTCTTCAAACAGTACTTTATACTTTGTGTATCTGTGTGGGTGCAAACTGTTGAAATATTTACTTAGTATAGAGTTGGTCTTTTGTATATGAAGATAACTGAAAATGAATTTTAATGAAGAATGGAATGGGAGAGGGAGTAGGAGGTGGGACGAGAGTGGGGGTGGGAGGGCAGGTATGGGGGGAAGAACCGCTATATTCCTAAAGCTGTACCTATGAAATTTGTATTTATTAAATAAGAGCTTTTTTTTAAAAAAAAAAAAACAATTGTAAGACATACTTGAGGCATCTGAGAAAATTTAAATATGGATTGGATATTAGTTTCCTTCATTCCAAGGAATTTTGTTAATTTTGTAAAGGGTGATGATGGCACTGTGATTGAGAAATATGTCCATAATTTTTAGAGGTTATTACTGAAGTATGTAGAGTAAAATAATAACATGTTTGGTGTTTGCTTTAAGATATTTCAGAAAAACATTGATAATGCAACTATGGCAAACTATTTTAACACTGACTTTATCTGAGTGATAGATACATGGAGGTTCACTGTATTATTCTCTTTGAGTATGCTCAAAATGTTTTGTTTGGTTTGTTTATTTATTTATTTATTTTGACAGGCAGAGTTAGACAGTGAGAGAGAGACAGAGAGAAAGGTCTTCCTTCGTCGGTTCACCCCCCAAATGGCTGTTACAGCCGGCGCGCTGCGCCGATCCAAAGCTAGGAGCCAGGTGCTTCTCCTGGTCTCCCAAGCGGGTGCAGGGCCCAAGCACTTGGACCATCCTCCACTGCCGTCCCAGGCCACAGCAGGCAGCTGGACTGGAAGAGGAGCAACCGGGACAGAACTGGTGCCCCGACTGGGACTAGAACCCGGGGTGCTGGCGCTGCAGGCAGAGGATTAGCCTAGTGAGCCACGGCACTGGCCCGAAATGTTTTATTTTAAAAATGTTTAATGTTATAAGTGATAATATTGGAAATAAAGATGCATATATAATACATCCCATTGAACTTTTGGAAAAATGTGTTATTATTTTTAATAAGTGGAAAAAATGATTATAAGAATACTGTTTACAAGTCATCTTGAAAATTTGTACCTAAGTTTTCTTTGCTAAACTTACTTGAGTTTCAGTCTGTAATTGTCCAATTAATGAGAGAGTCTTAACAGCAATAAAACAGACCTGTGATTTCAAACAAACAAAACTGTTACCAAACATCGAGACAGAGAGACAGAAGATCTTCCATCTGATGGCTCACTCCCCAAATACCTGTAACAGCCCAGGCTGGGCCAGGTTGAAGCCTGGAGCCAGGAATGCCATCTAGGTCTCATGGGTGGCAGGGACCTAAATACTTGGGCTATCATTTGTTGCTTCCGAGTTGTATTAGCAGGAAGCTGGATGGGAAGAGGGGGGTGCCAGGACTCCAACTGGCACTCCAATATGCGATGCTCCAAGTGGTGGATTAACCTGCTATGACAAAATGCTTGCCCCTTTCTTTAACTTACTGATTGAAAAATTTGAGCAGCTTTCAAAGGCTGGTGTAAAATGTTATTTCCAAGCTCAGCATCTAATTCAACAACATCAGAGGGATTTATTAAAATATTAAAACGATAGACAGCATAACTTTGTTTTGAATCTGTAAAAATATAGAAAGGTAAAAGTCAGGATAGTTTTATGTAGGAATTCTATTTGAAAGTTTCTAAAAGAAAGTCACTTTTACTGAACATACCATTGTAATGCTTGCAATCATCTATAAACTTTTGGAGACCTCCACTTCTGTCAAGGTAGATGAGGGCTGCCTCCTTCAATTTTAGATTTGACATTTTCTCCTAGTTAATGATTCTTCTCTATTACTAACTGATAAACAATTGTTGGTAAAAAGTCCAGATGGTAAAACTCATAGAAAGGATGAGAAAATCTAAAAATAAAATAAAATAAATTTTACTTTACAAACTATTAAAACTGAGAGTGAAATAAAGCTAAGCAAAATTTCCAAGTTCAAAAAAAAACTTATACCCAAAGGGAATCAAAATTTTGTTTCCTTTTGCCAAATAACATTTTTATCTACACTTGGTTATAAGATCTTTGACAAAATTATGAATTTAAGAACAAGAGCTTTAAATGTCTCTTTACAGAGAAGATCTTCCAAAGAATGTTTGTTGAAATAAACAATATGGGACAATGAAGTTCCTTTACAGATGTTGTTTAAAATATAAAGTGGTTAAATGTTAGTTCGTAAATCAGTCTAAGTGAGAAAATATAGTAGAGAGAATACTAACCTGGGAAATTTGAGGATTTGATTCTAGAACCATCATTTCCTGGTGGTTAAGGGGAAATCATTAGGCCTCTCTCTTGGATCAGTATCTACCTGAAGGAAATGAAGAGTTGTACTAGATAATTAAAACCCCTTACAGTTTTGAATCTTGTGACAGTGACTCACATAAAACATTAAACTGTAGGAATGAGTAGAGAGTGGACTATATAAAAATCAATTAAAGACAGCAAATACTAATGGACACAATATATACCAGTAACTGAATATGTGCTAGAAATAAAATGATTAAGATTGGACCTTGCTTTTCAAGAAGGTGCCAACTTAGAGAAGTCAGAAATAATGACTGACACATTTATTCAGTCATTACCAAATACTTTTTTCACATCTACTAGTTGTTTTATGCCACGTTGTTCTAGGTATTTGGGATATAAAAATGAATACTATGTGGTTGCTATCCTTCAGAAAGAGGACAGTGGAGTGAGATATGTAAGCAATTATGCAGTGTTAAGTACTGTAACAGAAATAATATATAGGCAAAAGGAAGCTGCAACATATATGAAATAGTTCACCAAATTTCGGTCAGCCTTGCAAATGAGTCAAATTTTCTAGGTTTTATGATATTTTGATAGAAGGATCATAGAGAATAGGTCGATTCTATTTAAAAGATGATATTTGGTAGATAGATAGTTCATCTAATTGGATGAGAGATGAAGATGAGGAGAAGGTTTTCCAGAGATGGGGTTGATTTTCCCACCCATTATCAGTCCTGCATTATTTGGTCCCCATCTCTTCTACCTGGAGTTCAGGCTACTTTTGAAAGAAAAGTGAGACTGCCCTTCTTGCTGTTATATAGGGATGGAATTTCAATTTATTTCTTCAAGGCTACAAATAGAATGCTTGTAAAGTGCATGTTGTCTTCAGGACATCTCATCTCTGAAACTTCATTAGAACATTGGGTTTGGGGGCTTTAAAAGAAGCTATTGATAATGAGATGGTTGGGCGAGGCCAGATTAGTTTTTTTTTTTTTTTTTAAGAATTTACTTAGAGAGTCAGAGTCTTCCATCCACTGGTTCACTCCTCAAATAAATGCTGGCACCTGCCAAAGCTGCAGCAAGGAACCAGGACCTCCATCCAGGTCTCCTACACCACATGGCAGGGACTCAAGTACTTGAGCCATCACTTTGCTGACTCCCAGGGTGTGGATTAGCAGGAAGCTGGATTGGAAGCAGAGGCAGACTCCATCTCAGGCACTCTTATGTGGGAGGTGGGTGCCTCAACGGGTCGCTGGGCTACAGCACCCACTGCCGTCAATGGAAGGTTTCGAAGTCCCTCGTGATAACTAAGTAATGGGAAACAATCTGTGTTTTTCAAAGTAGGAGGGAAACATGGCCAGGTTTTTTACTTCGGAAATCTCTGTCTTCCCACCAGTGTGGAAAACGGGTTGAAATAGGAGAAGAGTGGATAACCAGTTTCTACCTTTTGCAATTTAAAAGATGGATGGCCCAATCTAGAGCATTAGGAATGAAACAGAATGGGGAAGATGGATTCTAGAATTTCAAAGATTTCACACTGGACCCGTACAATGTGAGAAACAGTCCCAAAGTAAATGGGTTCGTAGCAGGAATGTGAGAGGATGTGACGCTTCCACGGAAATACGAATCCAGAAATAGGCGTAGGGAAATAAGGAAAGTTGGAGATATCCCGAGTTTGACAGGCCCTGGGGATACCCAGAGAGATAGCAGGAGGGCGTCGTGATCAGGGCCTGGGCTTCAGTGGCGTCAGAACAGCTGGGGTTAAAATCGGGGCGTCGTCGTGTAAAGTGAGGTGCTGGGAGCGAGTGCGTTTCAAGGAAGAGCTCGAAAAGAAAAGGCATAGAAGCCCACGGAAAAGCATTTAAAAACGAACGGGGATAAAATTCTAATTCTCTGTCTTCCCGCCGTCTAAAGAACCTCAGCGCTGGTTCACGTGGAACAGAGGCCCGTCCTGTCTCCCCTCTACCTGCCCAGGGGTAAACGGGTGAGGGGACGCCGCCGCGGGAAAAACACCTCACAGCTAGGGGAGGAAGGCGAATCCGGCCTCGCAGGGTGGGATCCAGAGCCCCTCCACCTCCAGGAGACCCAGCCCCGCAGCTATTTGTACCCACCCGGGCACCCCCCGGAGCGCCTCCCCGCCACGCGCCAACGCTCGCGCCGCCAAGGCGGCCCTAGCACGCATGTGCGCTCCTCCGACCGTTGACGGCGCGCGCGGCCTGCCGGGACCCAGCCCGCCCCATCCCCCACCGCTCTGATTTACTGATGCTTGCGCACTTATTGCGGGCCAAAAAAGAGACAGGGCGACCTTTGTTTTCCATATCGCAGACCAAAGGGTTGTTAAAAAACCTTTAAAACGATGCAAAATGGAGGGCCACTTTGGAAAACATTGCAGTACGCCCTCAAGGACTAAACAGTTAATGTAGAACACACACTACCATGTACAGATGCCCACCGAAGAGAAGCGAAAATAGGTCCACACCGAAACTAAGAAAGGAACAGTCCCAAAGTGGACACCTGTATCTGATGGAGTAGTGGCTAACTTGGTGTAGCCATACAATGGAATATTGGGCCATAAAAAAGGAATTAAGAAATAATACGTGCAACAAGGATGAGCATCGAAAACTGGATAATCCTAGCTCCACGTGCCATTCAGCTTCCTGCTAATACACACCCTGGAAGGCGGCAGGTGGTGACTCAAGTAGTTGGTTACTTGCATCTCACACGGCAGACCTTGATTGGGTTCCAGGTTCCTGGCTTTGGCCTGGCACAGCCCTGGCTGTTTTAAGGCATTTGGGGAATGAACTAGCCAATGGAAGCTCGCTCTCTCTCCCCTTCTGTCCCTTTGTAACTCTTTCAGATAAATAAAGCTTTAGTACAATGGATGGGAGTTGTGGTACAGCAGGCTAAGCTGCTGCTTGGAATGCCCTGATTCTGTATCAGGAATGTTTGGGATTAACTCCGGCCTCCATTTCCTTTCCAGCTTCTTGCTAATGGACACCCTGGGAGGAAGCAGATGGTGATACAAGCACTTGGATTCACACCACCCACTTGGTGAGACCTGGAATTCCTGGCTCCTGGCTTTGGCATGGCCCAGGCCCGGTTGCTCTGCCTTTCAAGTAAATTTTAACAATTAAAGTTAAATATGGTAGAATTGAACTTAAAACCTCAAGTATTTAGTGTATCACTGCACACTGCAAACGCTCCAAAAATGATAGTGGCATTGAGTCAAATTTTAATTGCTTATAGCTACTTACTGCTACTTTGTTGTGAATATTTACAGTACTTTTAAAGAAAATCTGGACATAGAGAGAGATTTCTAGGGGTAGGTTGAGAATCTAAGTATATATGTAATATATAAACAAGGACATGTGATGCAACAAGTATTTTCCTTACCTACACAGACCATTTGTTGGTTGGATTCAGAGATGAACACTTTTTCTTTTTTTTGACAGGCAGAGTGGACAGTGAGAGAGAGAGAGAGACAGAGAGAAAGGTCTTCCTTTGCCGTTGGTTCACCCTCCAATGGCCGCTGCGGCTGGCGTGCTGCGGCTGGCGCACCGCGCTGATCCGATGGCAGGAGCCAGGTACTTATCCTGGTTTCCCATGGGGTTCAGGGCCCAAGCGCTTGGGCCATCCTCCACTGCACTCCCTGGCCACAGCAGAGAGCTGGTCTGGAAGAGGGGCAACCAGGACAGAATCCGGCGCCCCGACTAGGACTAGAACCTGGTGTGCTGGCGCCACAAGGCGGAGGATTGGCCTAGTGAGCCGCGGCACCGGCTTTTGAATTTTATTTATTGATTTGAGAGGTAGAGTTACACACAGAGAGAGGGAGAGACAGAGAGAAAGGTTTTCCATCTGCTGGTTCAGATGAACACTTCCAAAAATTTGAATGGTAAGAGAGGGAAAATCACCCATGTGTCCAGATGTCCACAACCACTGAGACCAAGCCAAGAGCCAGGAACTCAATTTCTATCTGTGAATCCTTTTGATCAAGCTATGTAACATATCCCTCTTCCCCCATTAACCTCATTAACACACAAAGCTTGGCATATCCCATTGAGGTCCTGAAGCGACCTGAAACTCACTTACATACACTTTAGGGTTTGTATTGCTATATTCTGAATGTGCCCCCACAAAATTTTTATGTTGTAACCTAATCTCCAATGTGACACTATTGAGAGGCAGAGCATTTGGGAGGGGATTGCAACTACAGATCTTTGGAAGACACTCTCCACAGGGCTACTTTGCCCCTTCTACCAGGCAACACAAAATAATGACTTGCTCTCTGCTGGTTTGACATGGCAAATTGTTATAGTGATTAATATAGTGATAAAATTTTAGAATATTTAAGCATCCATTCAAATGTACCACTACTGCAATTATATCACAATACTGTTTGTTGGCTCTCATAAATTTTTTAAATTAAAAAATTTGGCATATTAAAATTTGTACATAAGGAGAACCTGCTGCCAGCATCTACACCATCTAACATTTATCCACCAGGTGCATCAAACAAATCTTAGTACCATGATGTCTACATTGTACCCTCTGCAGTATGGGCAAGCCTTCATTTAGATCCTTCTGTTCATTTTGCTAAAAGCCATGAACTGGTTCTACTCTTTAAAGGGTACACATTTTACTAAAAGACTTAGGCTGAGATGAAAATACAAACTTGAAACCTGGAAGAAATTTTGTTTCCTGAATTATATGCATCAGCCTATGAAAATCTGCTAATTTATATGTGTCTAAATGTTTTCTGTTGAAAGTTTATACTTCATCACACATGTAACTTATTTTGTAATGATTATATAACCATCACCAATTTTAACTTCAAAAAATTACAGGCATTAGATGATCATTCACCTTTTCTGCTAATTTTATTAGACTTATGGATTTGTATTTCTTATGATCCAAAAACATCAAAATTCTGTTTTTAGTTGGTTCTTAAAAATATACAATATTGCACTTTAATTTTTGGCAGTTCAATTACAGAGTGGCTAAGTAAAAAAAAAAAAAAACATAGAAGAAACTACAGTTTTTATTTTGCTTTATAATAACCATAGAATCTTGTGTAAAAGCAGAACTTACAGTAGTGTCAAATAAACCAAATATTTACAGTGCAGATATTAAAGTCTTACCTCCTAAGGAAGATTCAGTGTATTGAATGTAAATATTATCAATCTAATAAAAGCACATCCCTCCCCCCCAATTCTGCTGAGCCTTTTTAAGCCAAAGGGTATTGGTGGGAAATGCTTTGGCGATTTCTTTCTCAAGAGAATACCTGAAATGGATGATTGTTTTTGACAAATCTAAACTGGGTCACTCAACTCTTTCATAACAATGTTTCCCACAAGACTTCAAAATCCTCTCCGCTAACTAAGAATTTCAAGTCTTGCATTTCTTTTTAGTTTTTCTGTAGTTATTCCTTTATTATTTTAAGTGCACAGATCAGTTGATATGATTTTAAGGTTGGTTTCTATCCTTGGTCTAAGATACATAAGATATTGAAAATGCATCTGAAATATTTTTAACTTTCGTTACATTATAGCAAAACCTTATTTATTTACAATGACCCAGAGTAGGTAAACACTCTCGAAAGCTCAGTATCTTTTTTCCCCTTCTTACTTAATTAGAAAATAGCTTTGAGACAGCTATTTGCAAAAGCAAATACCAAGATTTACTTAACAGTATATTAAACACTCAAGATCAAACAGAACATAAATAGAATATATTTTGCAATATAAATACATGACATAGAGACATTCATTTTTGGCACCACCTAAAAAAAATTCAGCAGTTCTTTATTACCTTTCAGATCTTTGGAAATACTTAAAATTTCTAACCACTAAACTCTTCTCCTCTAGAGGAGAAATAATTCACAAATTTTGAATTGGTATTTCCAAAGCAAATGACTGACTTCATTTTGTTACTTCTTAAAATGATCTGGGGAATGAACAGTGTAACCAGCAGCCGATGTGTTAACTATGCTTTTATACTTTAATCCTGGCAACAATCAGTTATTTCAAATTGATTTATCATGGAAAGATATGGTTTCTTTAAAACAACCATGTACCATTGCATAGTTCTCATAGCAGAGAGTTATAAGGTAATAATATATGTTAACTGAACTGAAACAGACTGCGGAAAAACAGTCTGCCTTGGGTAGATGTTAGTGTAAACTCAGAGGGAAAAAAAACAGTCAATAGCAAAAAAGTTTTCTTTAAAAATAGGTTAATGCTAAGAATAAAAGTTTTTTTAAAATTTCTGTTCAAAAATAAGCTTAATAAACAATACAAATTTTAATTCAAAACGTAGCTCTTTGAAATGCCCTATTTTCTTGCATACAGCAGAAAATACACTTTTCATAGTTTCAACATTACACGTAAAAATGAGGCACTAGTTATACATATTTGAATATATGCACACAACAAGGAGTTTCAGTCCCATCCATAGGCTTATATTTGCTCAATGCTTTTGAATGGCAAACTGTTCACAAAAACAGGTCTTCTGAAGGAGGTGCGTAAGAGAAACCAACGAATGCATCATCTGCCTCCAAGACACTGGCGTTCACTATAGAATAGTCAGAAGACACACACACGGAATACGGAACTGTTTCTTCTGTAAATGCTGTGTCGAAGTTCCTGATATCATCGGGTCCAGCCTAAAACATCAGAAGTATAGTGTTATTCACTGTGCCTTTCCTTTCAGTAGCTTAGTCCTTCATCAAAACTCCCCTATGAACGCTTATACCTTTTTCACATTGAGTTTGTGGGGTCTTCCCACTTTACTTTTTGGAAACATTTTTGTTTTTCCTCTCTGGACTTCTATGATTTCTCCTTCTAACAGTTAAGGTTCTTGCTGGGTCAGGGAGGGGAAGATAAGGGTGAGGACGATTAGCCTAACAGAGTCCTCAGCTATGTTCAATTAAATCTGAGGCATCTGGAACTAGGCCCCTTCCTCTCTACCCATCACTGGATGTTCAGAAAAGTGGGTTCCATTTGGTTTTCAGAGAAGCACTTTCCATTTGAGCTCCCATAAATGCCTACCCACTACATTTCTCCTTAGTGAAGCATTTTAAAGAAGGAATGAAGGGTTATAAATAAAATTGTGAAAGATGATTCTTTCTGTGCTATGGAGAGGGTCGTGAAGCATTTGGCTAGGATACCTTTAAGCTCTGAAGGCCCAAGGGGAACAGGTATATGGGAAATCAAGTACAGAAGTTGCTTAGGCTCGAAGGCTGTGTTTCTTACCAGCCTCTGCCTGGGGTCCAGACCTACTCTCAGATAGGACTTCTGAATGACCCACCTAGAACATGGCCAGGCCACTCCCAACTGCAGCTCCACACCACACCCTACCCTCCCTCTTCAGGGCAAGCCTGCACCTTACACACCAAGCTTGCAAACTTTTCTGACAACCATTTCTAGGGCAAGTTCTACTCACACTGGCTACCTTACATTTGTGTAATAATTTCATAGTGTACACATTGCTTAACACATCAAATAATATTAATTTAACAACTGATAAAGACAGTCTTACCTTAGGGGTTATTTTCTGGGAACCTCTAATTTGGAATGTCAGTAAGCCTGCTCCCATCAATCAATCAACTCTATTTCTATAGTTTTCTAAACCTGAGTTAACAGTAGACTTTTATATGTAATAAACAAAAATTGTTCAACTATGCACTGAGGCCACAGAACTGAGAACTACTAACTGTGCAGAATAGTCACAATTTCAAAGAAGCAGCAAAAATCCTTGAAGAAGTTATATCCTAAAAGCTATCAAAATGCAAACAGCAAAGAAGTAAAAGCTATTCTGAAGAAAAATCCATTCTGAAGCATTTCTGGAAGTAAGGATAGAAACCTGGACACACCCAACATAAAGAAGGCTTCTAGAATAATTCAGAGGATGTCAGGGAATGTTGCAGGGAAGTCGTGTCAATATGGATTCTTTTGGAGAAACGTGTTTTATATCTGTATTTCTGAAGTGACCCACTAAAAAGCAAATCTTGCAGAAACTATCAAAAACTACTCATTTGTGAGTTTTATAGCAAGTGTGAAATAGTCTAATGTCTTCTCTGTCATATTAACAGCTGAGAGAATAAAAGGAAGGCACCAATGCCAGTTAAAATGAACTAAATAGGCCAGTATTGTGGTGTAATGGGTGAGGACACTGATTGCGACCCTGGCATTTCATTTTGGGGTGCTGGTTTGAGTCCTGGCTATTTGGATTCCAATCTAATTTCCTGCTAATGTGTCTGGGAAGGCAATGGATGATGGCACAAGTACTTAAGTCCCTGCCGCCCATGTGTGATACCAGGATGGAGTTCCTGGCTTCTAGCTTTGGCCTTGCCCAGATCTGACTGTTGCAGTCATTTGAAGAATCAATCAGTGGATGAGAGGCCTCTCTGTGTGTTTCCCTCTCGGCATTTCATATAAATAAATCTTTTCCAAAAATGAATTAAATATTTATCAGCATAACTTCAGTTATGTAGATTAAAACTAAGACTTCAAAATGCCTTTTATCCATTATTTATAGGTAAATACACTGATGTGAGTCCTTTATGATGCAGACTACTTGGCACATGTAATTAAAAACTTCATGCAATCTATTGGATTTTGGAAAGACTCCTACTGACTGCTAGAAACATTCACCGTTGAAACACTGAAGCTTAGTACGGTCAGTAACCCAATTCTTCCTTTTTCCAGTAACTAGTCTGACTGAAAATATAAAACACCAGGGAGTGGGCTGTAGCCTAGTGGTTAAATCTACTTCACTCATGGAGTACCAGAGCTCAACCACCTCTAGCTTCCTGACTCCAGCTTCCTGCCAATGCAGAACCTGAGAGACAGCAGTGATGACTCAAGTAATCGGGTTTCTACTCCCACATGGGAGAACTGGCTAGCATTCCTAACTCCTGACTCTGGTCCTGGCCCACTTCTGGCTGTTGTGGACATTTGGGGGATAAATCAGTGGATGGGAGCACTCTATTTATCCCTCAAATACATAATTAAATACCACCACCAAGAAGCAATAAGCAGATTGGAAATCAATTAATTTATTTTCCTCACAGAAAGATAAAGTATCAAAGGCAATTTCTGTCAGTTGCTTTGTTGCCATACTGCAATCATAAATTATTATGAAAGAGTGTTAATTGTTAAAGGAACAACAGAAATCACTGTGCACTTATTCCCCATATAGACTTCCGTCCCTAATGAGTTTACTATGAGAACTGCCTGCAAATTTTGTTCCCAAACAGTACTCTATATGTTGTGTGTTCATGGGTGCAAACTGTTGAAGTCTATGTTTAGTATGGAGTTGGTCCTCTGTATATAAAGTCAAACTAAAAATGAACCGTAATGAAGAAGGATATCGGAGGGGGAGGTGGGTAGGGTGGGCGTTTGGTGGGGGGAAAGAACCAGTGTATTCCTAAAGTTGTATCTGTGAAAAAATGATTTTATTAAATAAAAAATTATTGAGACATGTCTTTTTTAACCTTATGTTACCGTATTTCAAATCAACCAACACATTTACTATATAACACTAAACGTATTTAATCATTCTCCTCTTTCTGCATTTGTGTCTTTAATTAGTTTTCTTGAAGACACAGCCCATGTACTACTTATTTATATTTCTCAACTAAGTGACCAATAAATAATTAACTCACAAATCTCCGAAGGGAAGAAAAAGGGAACCAGGTTCCCTACTACAGGCTGAGCATCCCTATCTGAAAATCTGAAATGCTCCAAAGTTTGAAACTAAGCCCTGACATGACACCACAAATGGAAAATTCAACATCTGACCTCACGTGACAGGTTGCAGTTAAAACACAGGTACAGTGAAAACACTGTAAGATTACCTTCAGGCTTTGTGTGTAAGCTGTGTATTAAACATAAGTGAATTTCATATTTGATTTTAGTTCCATCCCCAAGATATCTATCTATCTACAAATATTCTAAATCCAAAAAAATCCAAAATCCAAAACATTTCTGATCCCAAGCATTTTGGATAAGGGATATTCAACCTGGAGCAATCTGGGAAAGATATCATCCCTAATGGAGCTAACTTCTAAAACTGTCACTTCTGGATGTGCTACATGAATAAAATAAGTCAATCTACAAATATGTCTGAGATGTAACACTGACTTTGGAATCATGTACAGATTGATTCCTGGTTCTGGTACCTTTCATCCAGCTATGTGACTTCTCTGAGCGTCTATTTCTTCATTTGTAAAACATAGATAATAAGAGCAATAGTACACTGGTAGCTTATATGATGAATAAGTTATATACTGTAAGGCATATAAAACATACATGCCTGTACACAGGAAACTACCAAAGCAACTATTATGATATTTTTCTTTTTTTTAAAAAAAGATTTTATTAATTTATTTGACAGGTAGAGTTACAGACAGTGAGAGGTAGAGACAGCGAGAGAAGTCTTCCTTCCATTGTTTCACTCCCCAAATGGCCGCAACGGGCGGAGCTACGCCAATCCGAAGCCAGCAGCCAGGAGCCAGGAGCCAGGAGCCAGGAGCTTCTTCCTGGTCTCATACGCGGGTACAGGGGCCCAAGGACTTGGGGCCATCTTCTACTGTTTTCCCAGGCCACAGCAGAGCTGGATCGGAAGAGGAGCAGCCGGGACTAGAACTGGCGCCCATATGGGATGCCGGCACCACAGGTGGGGAGGATTAACCAAGTGAGCCACAGCGCTGGCCCCCATAATTATTATTTTTCAAAGACTTATTTATTTATTTGGAAAGTAGAGTGACAAGAGATCTTTCATCTGCTGGTTCACTCTCCAAACAGCTATCAAAGCCAAGGCTGAGTGAGGCTGAATTCAAGAGTCAGAAACTCCATCGGAGTCTCCCATAGGGGTGTCAGGGGACCAAGTACTTGAGCCATCATCCGCTGCCTTTCCAGGCACAATAGCAGGAAGCTGGATTAGAAGCAGAGCAGGCTGGACTTGAACTGGCACTCTGATACTGGGACGCTGGTACTGCAAGCAGTAGCCTGACTGCTGTGCCACACACCAGCCCCTCTAGGACAATCACTGACCTCCTAATTTCTTTTCTTTTCTTTTTTTTGGACAGGCAGAGTGGACAGTGAGAGAGAGAGAGAGAAAGAGAGGAAGGTCTTCTTTTGCTGTTGGTTCACCCTCCAATGGCCGCTGCGGCTGGTGCAGCACGCTGATCCGAAGCCAGGAGCCAGGAGCTTCTCCTGCTCTCCCATGCGGGTGCAGGGCCCAAGGACTTGGGCCATCCTCCACTGCACTCCTGGGCCATAGCAGAGAGCTGGACTGGAAGAGGGGCAACCGGGACAGAATCCAGTGCCCCGACTGGGACTAGAACCTGGGGTGCCGGGGCTGCAGGTGGAGGATTAGCCTATTGAGCCGCAGCACTGGCCATGACCTTCTAATTTCTTTACTGTTATGTATTTGTTTACAAACTTTTCCAACACTGTTAATACTATAAAGTATGTTCTTTGATGTAACATTTTGCTTTAAAAATTGTATTTAGATGAAACAGTTCCATAAGTAGATTTAATAAATCCATCTAACACGAACATTTTTTACAATACTATCTTAATGTTTTCCAAAAAGGACATAATAGTTTATATTACCATTAAAAATGTTTGCCTATTTCTTGTTTTATATCAATCTAGAAAAAACTATGCAATATTAAAATGTTTATTGACTTAATATAAAAAGGATACCTAGTAGTTATTTCAATGTGTATATTTTTAACTTCCTGAGCTCATTCTGTTTGCATATTCAAAAGAAACACTTCATAATGACTGTGCAAGATGGTATTTCCATCAACTTCATCTAACTTATTGGGCATTTTGTACTTAATAGTTGGAACCTGACAACCCTGAGTGACACATTTCATAAATATTTAGGCACTGGATCCATTTCACTCAAGTTAGATCTTAACATTTCCAAAATTACAGTAAAATAAATTAATTCCCTGTTTCCCTATTTTAGTCTGATGTGGATACATGCTTACCACATTAGGATTGAATGGTGGTGGAATCTTCTTTTGTACCAGGTCAGTCCAGCTGAGTGATTCAAAAAAAGGATGGTTCTGAATTTCAAGCTGGAATACATTTAAAAAAATTTCTTTTACTAATGCTGAAGATATATTAAGTAGTCACTGAGAGATTTTATAAAGCTAAACCATTGCTGCTTTGCTACTTAGTATTCTTTCTAGACTTATATTTGTGTCCTCTATGGGCAGAACACTGGGAACACTGCCAGCAGAGTCTAAGTAACAACTACTTGGGACAACCTACTTCAGTTTAAGTTATATCCTCTCCACAGGGCTTCCTCACAGGTAAAAGGGGGTTAATGTTTCTGCCCTAAATACTTCACAGGCTGCTTAAAGGATCAGCATAAAATATGGAAATAAAGTGCTGTGAAAAGAAGAAAGCAACTCACAGGTACAAAGAATTATTCTTACCTGAGCCCAGGAAGTAAAGTCACATAGTTTTAGACAGTGAGACAGAGACAAAATCAAAGTGTTGAGCTCTTCTACCAAGGGAAAAAACAAAAAACAAAACTATTCCACCCTTGACTGGTACTCTCAAAGTTGGCACAATACTGATTCTAGCTTCATTTTTTTCCCAGCGAGGTGCCATGGGAGTGTATAAAGTGAGGTCCAGCCTAGTTCTGTGGGTTAAAAAAATACTTCATAGAGAAATTGCTCAACAAATTAGCCAGAAAAAAAAATGTCAGGAGAATGTTCCAGGCAAAACAGAGACCTTAAGATGATAAAGAGGTTACTATGGGCAAGAAAGAGAGAGTTGAATATGGCTGCAGCGTAGCAAAGGAAGATAATGTCACCTAAGAGGAAGCTGAGAGCTAATCAGGCCACCTCATAATGAGACTGCATTACAAATTTTAGATTTGGGGCTGGTGCTGTGGTGTAATAGGTAAAGCCACCTCCTGCAGTGCTAGAATCCCATATGGTACTGGTTTGAGTCCTGGCTGCTCATCTTTAAATCCAGCTCTCTGCTATGGCCTGGGAAAGTAGCAGAAGATGACCAAAGTCCTTGGGCCCCAGTACCCACATGGGAGAGCCAGAAGAAGCTCCTGGCTTTCAGTCGGCCCAGCTCCAGCTATTGTGGCCATCTGGGGAGTGAACTAGTGGATGGAAGACCTCTCTCTCTCTCTGTGCCTCTACCTCTCTGTATCTCTGCCTTTTAAATAAATAAATTTAAAAAAAATTAGATTTTATTCTAGCTTATGGGAAGCCATCAAGAGTTGTTTTTTCTTTAAAGATTTATTTATTTATTTGGAAGGCAGAGAGAGAGAGAGAGAGAGAGGCAGAGACAGATATCTTTCATCCACTGGTTCATTCCCCAAATGGCTGCAGCAGCTGGAGTTGGGCTGATCTAAAGCCAGGACCCAGGAGCTTCTTCCAGGACTCCCATGCAGGTGCAGGGGCTCAAAGACTTGAGCCATTTTCCACTGTTTTCCCAGGCCACAGTAGTTGAATCGGCGCCCATATGGGATGTCGGCTTTACCTGCTACACCATAACACTGGCCCCCATCAAGGAATTTTAAATACAAGAATGTCACAAATGGTATTTTGTTTTGTTAAAGATCACCTGGCTATGCAGTCAAGACCTGATAAAGGAAAAATAGCTAACACTATGGCCAAATTAAAGATGATAACTGCCAGGAAAGAGTAGTTGCAACGAGGCTAAGAAAATGTGTCTGGATAGAGGAAAGAGTGAGGTGACAAATATAGCAGGTGGACCTACTTTTGAATACGGGAGAATAAGCAAAAAAGAATAGTAATGAATGCCTCTCAGATATGGACTTGACCTGATTAGCCAGATGAAAGTGATGTTCTTTAATATGAAAGGGAGCACAGGAGGAAGACAGCAGGAATTCATTTTGAACACGCTGTGTTTGAGGTACAAAGGCCAACGGCAGCACAAAGATGTTGTGTATGTCTAGATATCAGAGAGATCTGGAAGTGAAGACATACAGACAAGTAAAGCCATGGGACTAAATGAGATTGTCATGAGAGTACAGTAGAAGAGGGTTTTGAGACAACCCCAGGCATGCCACACTTAATAGGCTGGAGAAGAGGGACTTGTGTAGGGCATTATGCAGGGAGCAGAAATATAGAAAGTTAAGTATGAGATCAATGTGGGCTCTTGTGGGAGCCCAGGAAATGGGAGAATTGCAACTTTAAATCCTGCTCAGAGAGTAAGCTGAAGAATAGAAGTATACAGTCATTCTAGCAGCTCCTTTGTGGCAGAGTCAAAAATGAAAAGAGACTATGAAAAGCAAATTGAGTACAGAAAACTTTCGACAAAGTTTGGTTAGGAAGAGAAGACAGAGGAGTACCTTGCAGGAGAGTAGGGTTGGAGATTTTTTGTTTTAAGAGACTTGATGCTATTTACTTGTTGATTGGAAAGAACCATGGTAAGAGGGAGCAGCTATCGTGCTGAAAAAAAGCATGCAGAGGATTCCTAGCAAGAGGCTGCGATCCAGGGCATAGGTGGATATGAACTTCTTCCACTACTGTAAGAAGGAACAACAGGTGCAGGTGTAAACAGATCTTCAAATAAGATAGAACAAAGCTGGTGACAGTACTGCTCTGATGGCTCCATTTTCCCTATAAAATAGAAAGCAAGACCATCTGCTGATGTAAAGAAGAAGGAGGGGGAGGAGGAGGAGGAAGAATCTGCAAGTTTGGAGAGACGACCTGAAATGGATAACATCAAGATTAAGAGAATAAACTGAACAGAGAAAGACAGCAGCAGTGATGCAGACAGTGATGAAGCCCAGAGAAGGTTCCTGACCACGATGTGACAGTGCTTCCGAAATGCCCAGGGGCTAAGCACTGTTCAGCAGCCCCAGAGATGACAGGTGGGTTGTTCTAGGGTTTCAGCTCCCACCACTGAATTCAATAAGAGGACCAAAAGACAAGTAGGTGTGAAGTGTTAGCAAGACTGATTGAAACAATGAACAGGAACCTGTTGACAGAGTTACCCAGTAAACTGGAGATTAGGAAGGGTGGGGAAGCAGCAGCAGAAGAGTCTATTACTCACAGGTCAAGTTCAAGATTGATAAACAGCCTTCAAACCTTTCTCAGAAAGGAATTTAAAAGGTCATGTTCCTCAGTAATTTGTCAATTTACTATCATTAATACTAGTAACTGCACTAGCAAATTAATTAACCTGATTTGAAACAAACCTGCCAATTTCAACATTATCTCAAGAAAGTGTAACTAAATTCTCAAAAAAAAAAGCTATTTAATGTTAGTTCAAGAAAAACAGGATTGCCTCATGCAGACAACAGACACTTAAAATTATTTTTTAAGGAAACAATTACAAGTTTAGGTAGCCTCAAACCCTAACAAAAACCTTATCAGGTTGTTAGTCTCTATTATAAGTCCATGAAAATACTAGTATTATTTAGCAATCAAAATTAAAAGTCTGCAAAAAATGTAGGTAGTTAAAAACATGTATTACACATTTTTTATAAAGAAGGGAGGGGAAGAGAAATTAACCAAATCAAATAACTGAATGTGAAAGCTTGACATAGAGAATGAAGGAGATCAAATTACTATGAAAATCAGAAAATCATGCAGGTGTTAAGTGCTTTGAACAATGCATAATTCTGTATACATACAAGTGCCAACACTGGGGACAAGCAAGCTACTTTTCAATGGTACTATTCCCTAACAGCTACATTCATTCCATTAATTACCACATAAAAACAGGGATTTATTTCCAAATTCTAAATAAGCTCAAGTAAAGTAGAACTGAGAAATATGTTACATACAAAGTCTTCTTTGGCACCAAGTCGATTTTGCCTGTTTTTTTCTAGGAGTTCTTCCAGAATGGACCAAGCTGTGAGGCTCACCCCTGGCCTCAAACTTAGGGGCTTGTGAAGAATATTATCATACATTTCAGCAACATCTCGGCAATAAAAAGGAGGCTGGAGGAAAAAAAGCAAGATGAAGAAATTTAGTGGTAATTAAATTGTACTAAAGTGGGGCTAAAATAGTTGAATTTGGCCTTCACTTGCAGAGAACACTGGGTTTGGACAGCACAGAAACACAATAGGCCTCCTCAGGTATGTGGACATCTGCAGTGCAGCCTCCCAGCAGAGATTCTAAAATCCAGCATAATACACAGCTTAAAGTTCACTGAGTGAATTAGGGTGGGTGTGTTCAAGAGCACCTTGTAGACACAGCTGTCACGCTGTGTACAACCTGGGGCCTGGCACTGTGGCACCATGGGTTAAGCCAGCAGCCTATATCAGAGTGTCAGTTGGAGTCCTGGCTGATAGGAGTGGACATCTGGCGAACTGGTCAGGATGCCACTGGGATGCTTGAATCTCATATTGGTATGACTGGGTTCAAAGCCTTGCTCTGCTCCCAATTCCAGCTTTCTGCTAACTTGTATCCTGGGAGACAACAGGTGACAATAGCTGATGTACTTAGCTTCCTGCTGCTCATGTGGGACACCTAGATTGGGCCACACACTTGCAATTGCAAGAATTTGGGGTGTGAACCAGCAGAGATTTTTCTCTCTGCCTCTCAGAAAACTGAAGTGAAAAAAGAAATTTAAAGTACTGTTTAGTATAATAGAGAAATAATGATGTCAACTTAAAACACTAATAATAAAATGAAAAGTCATTATTTTATTGTATATT